TTGCATGAAACAAAACATATATCACATAATTAGTTCTAATTAGAAGCAGTTAATAAACAAGCATGTTGAATTCTTACCTTCCCCACAAATATGGAAGATTCCATGCTGAAAATATAATATTGGACTTTGGTACAAAGATGTACTCGGGAAACAACAAGCAATCCCGAAGAAATCCCGAAGAAATCCTTCATTAGAATTCATTCAAGTCAACATATTACACGATTATTTCTTTTCGTCGAGTTTCCTTCATGCTTTGGAAAATACAAAAATATGATTTGAAAAGCTTGTGTTCATACTAAATCAAAACAGATATATGAATAGTTAGGAAAAAACAATCTTTTCTTTTCCATTCTTTAGAAAAAATATATTATTGTTTCTGTCAACAAAGCAGAGAGTTATACTATTATATTTCAGTCTCTCTCTCTCTTTATTTTTTTTTAGTGAAAATTCATCAGACTAACCTTTAAGGTTAATGAAATGACAAACTTAACTTAACATATTGAAGGGCTTACTAGACTAACCTTATAAAGTTGGTTTAAGTCCATTTTATCCAGATGTTGAATATTATTACGAAAATGCCATTACGAAAATGCCATTATGATTTAATTTCGAAAAAAAACTTTTTAAAAATCGAAATTTTTTTTGACGAAAAAAAACATTTTTTTAAAACGAAAAAAGCAAAAAAAAAAAAAACACAAAACCAAAAACTAAAAAAAAAAACCCTAATTCATCTTCTTCTCCCCCTCTTTCTCCTGCGCCGTTTTTTTTTTCCATGGAGCTGCTCTTCTTCATAACTTGGCAGCCTCCCTTTTTTCGCAGTTTTCTCTTCACAACTTTCCTTTTGTTTCACAGATCCACACAGATCTTGCCTCAATCGCCGTTCAGAAACTTGTTCAGGTTTGTTTTTTTTCTCATTTTCTTATTTTTTCTTCTTTCTTCTTCGTCTTCTACTTTCTGTTTGGCGGAGGAGGAGTTTTACTGTTGGTGTTAGAGATCTCGGAAATATTGGCACGACTCTTAAGCGGCGTTCTCGCCGCATCGCGCACAACCGCACTGGACAGGTGTTGTTTCGAAGAAATGGTGGTGTCCCGGAGGTTGACGGCGGCGTAAGTTTTTTCTGTAAAACCCGCAACCCTAATTTTTTGTTTCAGGTAAGTTTGGTAGATATATTTGGAAAACGATAAGTAGTTTGGTAGATTTATTGTATTTTTTTGTTGTAAAGTTCATAATATGTGATAATAGATTTTTTTGAAAAACGATATGTAGTTTGGTAGATTATTAGTTATTTGATGGTAAATATTTAGAAAACGAAATATGGTTTGGTAGATTTATTAGTTATTTGATGGTAAAATTATTTTAGAGTAAAAACGATGTCATTTGGTAGATTTATTAGTCATCTAATGATAGACTTATTTGTAAAACGATGTGGTTTGGTAGATTTACTAGTCATTTAATGGTAACTTATTTGAAAAATGATTTGTGTTTGGTAGATTTATTAGTTATTTATGGTAGATTTATTAGTCGTATATATTTGAATTTTATATACGAATGACAATATTTGTTTATTTTTTTCTGACAGATTATGGGCTTTGCCATGGTGAACAAATCTTTGATGGGATATCCAGCATCGATCCGACATGTTTTACTATGAATTGTAGATTTGCATTTGGTAGATTTGTTTTGAAATAATGGTAGATTTATTATTAAATTGATGGTATATCTGTATTTTGAATTTGTAAAAATGATAATTAGATTTTAAATGATAATATTGTTGTTTTCAAATTATATTTGTCGTAAAACATTGACCCAGACATTTTCATATTTTTACCACATTTGCTTGTAATGTTATTATTCAATTTAATTTATTTCTTTACTTTCACTATGATGTATATCATAACTGAATAAAATTTTAATCAAAACACATGACTAAAATCATTTGACATTGTGATGTTGTAAGAGTTTATGTAAATAGAGTTAAATGTAACAAATATTCAAAAATAAAAATAAAAAAAATCATATGTTAAGAGATGGTTATTACAGATATGACATATATGTTCAAAGTTAATATGAAAAGCAAAGTTATCTTAGAGAAAAAATATATCATAGAAAAAATATTCATGTTAGAAATTTTTGACCATTGATTATGGCATCTATATCGTAAATACCAATAATCATCTGTGATCGAATCACAGTTAACCGACATAATCTTAGCAAACTCATGCAAAAAAAAACGTCAATGGTAACAAAACCAACTCAAATATAACCATGGAACTCGGAGTATAAACAAAACCAACTCTACCATATGTACGAAACTTGTTTAACATACGACACTTCAAAACAAGTCTACCAAACGGTAGGTTTTTTCGTAGATAAAACAATTCTTTTAGGACAAAAAAGTAATTTCACTCCATAAAGTCAAATGTCTGCCAAACATTAACTACTAAGTCTACCTCAAGCATGAAAAATAACTCTACCATATAAACAAGTCTACCATAAGCATGTCATATGTCTACCAGATCAAGGTTATCTTTGTAAATACCAAACTTAATTAATCTACCACATTATTATTTTAAGAAGTCTACCATACGTTCGATAACTCTACCAGATTACATAAACTCTACCAAACATACAAACAAATCTACCAACATTTCGTAAGTCTACTTCATGTAATTATTAATCTACCACAAACCAGAATGAAATTTATTTTAAATTTAAGTCTACCACAAAACAAACATATCTACCACAAAACAAATAAATCTACCAAAAGTTTTTAAGTCTACCTCATGTAACATATAATCTACCACTCACTGGAATGAATTTTAACTGAATTAAATCTACCACAAGTCAAACATATCTACCACAAAAGCGAAAACTCTACCAACTATATGTAACTCTACCATAAAACAGATATATCTACCGCACGTATTAACAACTTTTTTCACATAAATCTACCATTAAAGAAAATAAGTCTACCAACGCAGAAAATAAATCTACTTCATTGTCAATAAATCTACCGAAAAAGTCAATTACGCGAGCAAGTCAACGCTTTTTTTAACAAGTCTACCAAAACTTTTGACAAGTCTACCATTCATAACAACAAATCTACCGAAACATAATAAATCTACCTCTCATCGTCAAAACTTTACCAAGATAAGTCTACCAACATTTAAAAACTCTACCAACTCTCGAATAAATCTACCATCGACCTAATAAATCTACCAACAAAATTTCTGCGTTGACCAAAATTTCATAAGTCTACCGTCATAGTTTGGTAGACTTACTAAATTTTGAGCGCCATAATCTGCCTACGTGGCATTAAAAAAATAATGGCATTTTCGTAATTAGGTTTTTTCAACAAAGGCGAAAAGGGTGTTTTAGATATGCTAGGTTAATTTTGTAAAAAAAATAAAAGTGCGTCTCGAACAAGTAATATAGATACTTTCTAAGGTTAGTGTAGTAATCCTTCCTTTTTTTTATTATATTTCATGAATGAGTTAAACGATTTTTTTTTCGCTCTGTTCGAGGTGTATTATTTCATCTCATAAACTTTTTCAGATTGAAATGGGCAATTGTGCTAGGGAAAAAAAAACTATTTCAAATTGAACCCAAATAGAAGATGCTTGATCTAACAAAACCGGCCGAAATGTTGTTGAATTCTCCCGTACCAGACCGATTAATGTTTTGTAATCACAAACTATATAAATGCATGCGTAATGTAAAGATGGTCGTAATGTGGAGCCAAGAAAGACACGAGATTGTTATGATCTGGGATTCCAATTCTTGTAGGACCTACGCTCAAGCCTATGCAGTTACGCTCCATTTTGTTCTGCTTTTGGCATATTTTCTTAGACCATCTCCAAATGTGGTCTTTTAAGGGATTCTCATGTTAATTTTAAATTAAAAGAAAAAGATTAAATGAGTTAATGGGAGAGAATCGGTTTTCTTGAGAGAACTTTAAGGACCTATGAGAGACCCTGACGTGGCAATATTTAATTGGTTGGAAAATTTGTTTTTATTTTTTATTTCTTTTCTTCTCATTTTATTTCTCTCTCCTGACTGAATTTCTTTTTTGAAAGACTCTGATTTAAAAACTTACCGAAGCTTAAAAACTAAAATTCTCTTTACAAATGTAGATATATGTGTAAGTAATACAAAAAATATTAAAAAATAAGATGATAACTCCATAGGTTTCTCACCATTGGAGATGGTCTTATTACCCAACCAGCTTATGTTTTTGGAAAAGGCCTAAACATTATATTCTATGTCGGATTGGTTTGAAATAATTATAAGAAAGTCATGAAATTATGGGACTTTGTATTTTCTTCATTATACAATTACTGAATTGAAAAATGAACACCACATTAGATTGGTCCGAATTTTAGTATTAGTTAATAATAGTAATAGAATTTGTAAGGTTGCGACATATATAAGACGGGGAACAGTTTTGCATGAAATAAGCAAAAGACATTGTCGAAGAAAAAGCTCAGCTTCTTCTGCTTTATTATGAAAAAAGCAAAAAAGTTCAGCTTCTGCAGCGATAAATCAACAAACAAAAGAGTCTCGAGCATCGTTGAAGGCCCCCACTTTTCGCTTAATTACAAAACTGTTCCTTCTTTGAAATTTAGACAAGAAAAATAAATTTAGAAAACCAGATGTTTTAGAATTTCTTTGACAAAGAATGTAATTATGAGCGTTAATCTTCTTCACATGGAAGAAGATCAATAGAGTTAACACGTGAGATCACAGGCACGCGTGTGGGCAGAAACAAAATCCCAAAAATTTATCATTATTACATTACCGTTACGGGGAAAATCAAAAACCGACGCTAGAATACCCTTTGACTATTTGAAACCTATTTTAAAGCTGGTCAAATTGAAACGATCGTACGGTCTACATGTAATATCAAAGAAGGGTACGTTAGTCAATTTAACACCTCTTAAGTTTTGCGTTACTTGCAGACAATAAAGCCACAAATCTTTGTCTTAATTACGGACCATACCACTTTCCTTCTTTGTCTTGGAATCCTCAACGCTTTGCTTCTCTATACTCTCTCTTTGCTTTCTCTGCGAATTTTGGAAGAGCGACAATGTCGAGACTTTCTCATTTGTGTCTCTCTCTACTCTTTCTTTCTCTCCTTCACTGTCATTTCGCTTCTTCTTCATCTTCCGTCACCGATTTAGAGTCTCTTCTCAATTTCAAATCCTCCGCTGATTCCACCGGGAAACTTAACTCGTGGAACTCAACCACCGACACTTGCAAATGGACCGGAGTCTCCTGCGTCGGAAACCGAGTCACGCGACTCGTCCTCGAGAATCTCCAACTCACCGGGTCAATCGAACAACTCGCCTCGCTCACTGAGCTCCGAGTTCTCAGCCTCAAGCGAAACCACCTCTCCGGCTCCGTCCCCGACCTCTCAAAGCTCACAGCTTTAAAACTACTCTTCTTATCGGAAAACCAATTCTCCGGTGAGTTTCCGGCGTCGGTTACTTCACTCTCTCGTCTCTACCGTCTTGATCTCTCCTTCAACAACTTCTCCGGCGAGATTCCTCCGAGTTTAACTCATTTAACCCATCTCCTCACTCTCCGGCTAGAAACAAACTCGTTTTCCGGCCAAATACCAAACATCAACCTCTCCGATCTCCAAGACTTTAACGTCTCCGGCAACAAACTCGAAGGCCAGATACCAAATTCCTTGTCCCAATTCCCAAAGTCCATTTTTTCTCAAAACCCATCTCTCTGTGGAGCTCCATTGCTGCTAAAATGCTCCATCGATCCAACGAAACCGGGTCAACCCGAAAGAGCAAGAGCTATTCCTTCCTCTCCAACATCGGTTCACTCCAATAACAACAACAAAAGCACGACGAGAATCAGCACCGTGGCACTCGTGGCAATCATCCTCGGAGACGTTTTAATACTAAGCTTGGTCTCTCTCCTTCTCTACTGCTGCTTTTGGAGACAATACGCGACGAGCAGGAAGAAAAACTCGAAGGTTCTTGAAGGAGAGAAGATTGTCTACTCGTCGAATCCGTACCCGCACAACCACCATCAGCAGCAGCAGCAACAACAAGGAGGCGGTGGTGAGAGGGGTAGAATGGTCTTTTTCGAAGGAACACGGCGGTTTGAGCTTGAAGATCTTCTCCGAGCATCGGCTGAGATGCTCGGGAAAGGAGGATTCGGGACGGCGTACAAGGCGGTTCTTGACGACGGCAATGAGGTCGCCGTGAAGCGGTTGAAAGACGCCGTGACGGTGGCTGGGAAGAAAGAGTTTGAGAATCAGATGGAGGTTTTGGGAAGGCTCCGTCACGCTAATCTCGTGAGCTTGAAAGCTTATTACTTTGCTAGAGAAGAGAAGCTTTTGGTCTATGAGTACATGCCTAATGGTAGCCTCTTCTGGCTTCTCCACGGTACGTCGTCGTTTTGACTCCTTCCCTTCCTCTAGTGTTTTCAATTGTTACTAATTCTGGAAACTTAATCACAATCAGATTAAGGATTTAGTCATTGAGGGAGGATATTATGTTACCAAAAGTTGGCATAGGTTTATGTTTCCATAGTAAGGAATCTTCTTGTGTGGGCCAAAACAGGTGATTCCCTAATTACTGGTGTTAGTGTAACGCGAAAAAGCATGAGAAAGATTAGGGTTAATTTTTGGACTTACTGAGAGATTATATTTAATTATAAACGGTTGACAAAATCACTTCCATATAGCATTTATTATTACTAGGAAATAGATAATGAGAATTTAACACTCTAGAGAGTGGATAGAGAGAGACACACCATTGGCAACAAGTTGGACAAAATAAAGTCCTGATCTGTCTCATTTAATCGCTTTTTCTTTTGTTTCTTTGCTTCGACCCACCTAACCATATACTTCATTCATTGTCTTTAGTCACTAATAAACCGACTAATTACACTTTTCGAGGTAAGTGGCAAATTCGTAATATCTTTGGTTATCTGATTTCGTTTTTGGACCCGTTTGGTGTAGGAAACCGTGGGCCGGGTCGGACTCCACTGGACTGGACCACGCGCCTAAAGATCGCAGCAGGGGCGGCGCGTGGAGTAGCTTTTATCCACAACTCATGTAAAACCCTGAAGCTCACACACGGCGACATCAAATCAAACAACGTCCTCCTCGACATCTCCGGCAACGCTCGTGTTTCCGATTTCGGACTATCTATCTTCTTGCCGTCGCAAATCACCGCTAAATCCAACGGCTACCGAGCGCCGGAGCTGATCGACGGCAGAAAATCCACACAAAAATCCGACGTTTACTCGTTCGGAGTGCTTCTCTTGGAGATACTCACCGGAAAATGTCCAAATCTTGTGGACACGTGTCACTCCGGCGAGGCGGTGGATTTGCCGAGGTGGGTCCAATCGGTGGTGAGAGAGGAGTGGACGGCGGAGGTGTTTGATTTGGAGCTGATGAGGTATAAGGATATAGAGGAGGAGATGGTGGGGCTGTTGCAGATTGCTATGGCTTGCACGGCGGCGACGGCGGATAATCGTCCGAAGATGAGTCATGTGGTGAAGATGATTGAGGATATACGTGGTGGTGGTGGCTCGGAGGCGTCACCGTGTAACGACGGGATCAATTCTGCGACGGCGGAGTCTTCGCCGTGTGTATCTGAGGACACGTGTGGTGGGATTACTAGTCGCTAGTTTAGTAGTATGATTCGTTTTTACTAGAATTTGTAAATCACGTCACTAAAATCTTACCTTTTGTCATTTTTTTCTGATATTTTACTGTCATAACACTTCCTAATGTTTTAAGCCTTTTGGTTTTCCTTTTTTTTTAAATTTGTTTTGTTGTATTGATATTTTCTGGTTAGACGTAATCTTAGAGTTATGTGAGAGTGTTTTGGATAGGAGTCAACACAAAATTCACATCCCTATACTGAAAGTGCCGTTTCATTTTCATATGGTCTCGATCGCGAATCAATGCTATAATTAATCTATTACTCCTATGTAGGATTAATATTATAATTTTGTGGAAAAAATACCGTCAATTAGACGAAAGTGGTGAGTGATTGATTACTTTAGAAAGTCTTAAAGTCCACTAGTGATGCCTTAAAGTCCGGTCCATTATTCTGATTTCTCGAACGATAGAAACTAGAAATGTCTTTTAGAGTATGGAAATGGAGTAAGTGCGCATGTTATCGCATAGTATATGTAACATTTGTCGGTTTCTAATCAGGTAGGCACTATAGAGTTACACGATAGTCAACCATAGAAACATAAAATACTTAATATATTCAGTCCTTAAAGCTTGTTTTCGTCGGCTGATATTGCGGAATAATAAACAGTTAAATGGAATTTGTAAGTAGATATATCACCCAAAATCTCTGCTCCACATACAATTACAATTATTCCATTTCATGGTGGAGAAATAAAATTTGAGGATCAACACACAAAAAAAAAAGAAAAGAAAAAAGATTTATATATGTGAAGAATAAAAAGAATTAAACATGACGGTTGAAAAAAAAAATATGTGAAGGAAGAATGAATGATCAGAAATATAAAACAGAAGGTGCAAGCCTAAGCAACCTGCCAAGAGCAGTGGGCAAGAACTTGCGAGCAAATAAATAACAATTATTCGTCTTCTCTGCATTGTAAAAACACTTCCTATTCTCATCACCACCACCTCTCAGCTTCTCCAAGAACTCTTTTGTCACCTCGTATCTAATAAACCGGTTCGGGTGAGGCCCACCTTTCGACCAATCGACCCACGTGAGAGTCCGGTTCGTGTTGCGGCTACCGAGACTCGGATTGATGTTGAGCAGCGTAGGGATGTAGTGCTCGTCTGCGTAGCAACCGTGGTGGCAATAACGGTAGAAGAGAGGCCAATAGGTTTTGTCCGATATGATCTCGAGAGCCAGTGCACGGTTTAGCTCGAACCATTGGGAGCCTTTGCGCCAGTGACGTAGCTGAACACGTGGCCTCATTTCAGGGCTGTATCGGCCACGTCCAACGCCGCCTGGTTGGTCGTAGGACTCGACGTGAGTTTGAGTTGAGTTAGTGAGGTAAGAGTAAACGGTGGTGAAGTTGAAGAGAGGGATGCATGATTCGGAGAGAAGTAGGAACCGTTCGTTTGATATGTCTAATAATGCATTTGCTAGTAATCTTTGTTCTGCTTCCACCATATTCACATATCCCCAATCCACTCTCTGCGTTATGAATAATTAATACAAAAAATGTTACAAGACCCATAAAAAAAATATTTAAACATAAAGTATGGAATTAGGCCTGGGCAAAAAACCCGGATCCGAATATCCGAACCGGAACCGAACCGAAATGGAGGTACCGAATCCGAACCGAAATTTTTAAAAATATCCGATAGATCTTAAACTTTTATACCTGAAGAATCGGAACCGAACTAGTACCGAACCGAGAACCGATTGGGTACCCGAATTATCCAAAGTATAATTATATATCCTTCTAAATATTAGTTTTTTTTGATATTTTTGATATTTGGTATATATTTCTGGTTTTACAGATATATTTTCTTTATTTTTGGGATTTTTGGGTATATTTTTAAGTTTTGATATATATATTTTTGAATTTTTGTTATTAAAAAAGTGTGAGTCGAATTAAAAATTTGTGGCAAAAGATCCGGATCCGATTATCCGAACCGGAACCGAACCGAAATAAAAATACCGAACCCAAACCGAAATTTATAAAAATATCCGATGAATCCTAACTTCCTCTACCCGAAATATTCGGAACCGATTGGTTCCGAACCGAATATCCGAATGCCCAGACCTATATGGAATTATCATAAGTTAGATACGGGTTTTTTTGAATAATTAATTCAACAAATGTTACGAGACCCACAAAAAAATATAAGATATATAAACATAATTATTCGAAACTTCCTAGTTAGATCAAGAATCGAACTATCATAGGTTTTATATGAATTTAATTTTCTCGGATACGAGTACCAGAAGTTTTTTTAAAAGTCATCCCTAAAATAAAATCAAATTCAAATGACCGCGTGTAATTATGGACCAAGAAAAAAGTGTCGCTACCAAATGAGTTAGTATAAAATTCAAAATTGTTAACTAACTTTGTAGACACATCCTTGTATTAACAAGTTCTAAAAGATGAACATTATTGCCCACCTTCAACAAAAGTCACATCACAAGTGAAGATTGATGAATCTAAATTTGAGAAACTGAAGGAAGTAATTAGTTGGGATTTGATTTTCATTTTAGACTCATGCGTTTGTGGCAACTAAGTTAATTAAGCACTAACAAGTAAGACACCTCCCTTTTTACGGGTACATGCGTTTGTGCCTCCGATTCTTGTTGGCAAAAACGTTATGTTCACTAATGAAGAAACCATGCAATAATTAACCAAAAAACAAAAATGAAAAGAGAAAAGAACCATGCAATTTATTGTATTATAATATGGTAGCATTAGCACCGACGGATAACAATTCACAAACAATTCCTTAATACAGGGTATAGTAATATAATTATATATCAAAAAGCAACCGTATTGTGCAAGATAATCTACATTCCATTCACAACTTCTTAGGAATTTTATTTTCTTTTATAGGAGTATGAGATTTTTGTGTAGTAATTACTCAATCACAGTCAGAATGTTTACACAAGAGTGCAGTTTCCGAGTAATAAGTATAATATATTAATTTAGCATTTATTTTTAGTTTGGAAATGAAAATTTGAAATTTATGATCATTTTGATAAATGTTTGAATGTTTATATTGACATTTTGATAATTGTTAGGAGTAATTCTTAGACCCTTTTTTTTTTTGTTTTTTCTCCAACGTAATTTAAACCAATCAAAAACGAAAAATCAGAAATGAAAGACCAATATTGGAATGTGTGTATAGGAAGCTGACCTTGCTTGGAATCTGCCGGCCATGGAAGACGGAGCCTTCGGGATCAGACTGGTTGTAAGAAGGATATGAATGAACGTATATAGAGAAAAGACCTTCATGCCCACGAAAGAATCTCTCCCATAAAGGAGCCAGAGGTAAATGACCCTTTGTCAAGAACATGAAAGCGACCTTTGGTGTTCGAGGGAAAGGGTAATTCGTGATCTTGGGAGCCATCGAAGCTCTCCAGAAAAGCTCTTCGTCTTCCATGTCGTGCATAATGTTCTCCGGTGGCCTCAGAAACCGTTTGAGCCCGTCGTGCTCGGGCTTAGAAGGAGGAGGAGGAGGGGGAGGAGGAGGAGGAGGAGAAGGAGGAGGAGGAGAAGGAGAGGAGACAAGAAAGAGCTGAGAGATGCTTTGTATACTGAGTGAAGATGTGGAAGAAAAGTCTTGTAGAGAGGAATGGAGAAGGATACCGATGATTATGCCACAGCAGAGAATAAGGGAATATGAAAGGAGATTGAGGAAACTGTGGTATTGGGCATTGAGAAGCTTTGCTACTAGAGATGGTGATGAAGAAGATAATGATGGGTTTTGGTCCTTTTGTTTCTTCATCTCGAGAGAGAGATAAAGAGAGAATTGTGTGTTGTTTGTTGTTTAAACTGGTTGGATCTACAAAGTTTGAATGGAGATGGAGAGACTTAAGTTCTTTGCTTTAAGGGGAAGAGATACGATACCGCTTTTACAAGTGGAGAATTCTATTTGTATTTTTTTTTTGTTGAGTCTCTTTTTTGTTTGTCAAAATAGAAATTTATTGGGTTGAGAAGATGGAATTTTCATACCGTCGAAGGAGAAAAAAGGTGTATATAGGGTGTAAAATCTGATACAAACTAATTAATTGGAAAAACGATTTTGGCAAATATTCATGGGTGATTTCATTCAATTTTCTTTAAACTATTAATTAAAAAAAATAACTGGCAAAAGATTGCGAGGAATAACCGATATTTATTGAAACAGATTTTTGACGTCATAATTGAAACAGAATCTTAATTAGTGAAAGTTTTCGAAATTTGTGAATATAAGAGACATGGCATATTTATTAATCTTACATTTAAATGGATATAACATGATCGTAAAATAAACAGAAAATATGGTCATGTGATTATCTCCTTTAAATGAAAAGCGAAAACTCATTTTTAATAGAAGAAAAAAAATAGAAACGCCAGTAAACAGAAAAATAGGATCATGTTTTTGAGGTTTTTTTTTTGTAACCGAGTTTTGACGTTGCACGAGGTTTTTTCTTACAATATCTAATGAATATAAATGCTAGGGGTTTTTTTGTTTTTTTTTAACAAAAAAAATGTAATTGCTAGGGGAAAAACGTCAAAAGAATTTTAAAGATACATTATAAATTGGTTGACGTTTATTGTTTTTTTTTGTTTTGACTTTTTCAGTAACTCTTCAGTATTTTTAGTGAAAAATGTCGTTACCTTTTAGAACCATAAATGTGTTGGACTAAAAAGGACTCAAACTGTTAAGTGGTAACTTTATTTCTGGCATAATGAGATAATTACTAAGACAAGAAACCTTCGTGGCAGAATTTCTGAGTAGTTTGAAGGTTTAGAGGTACCTCTAGGAACTAGGAAGTGATGACATCCTTGGTAGTCCGAACATCCTTGGTGGCCGTAAATTGTTCCGCTTTTATTCCATGCAAATTCCGAGTTTTTAGGTACTTGTATATTTTGGACTTTTTTAATCCACTTTGTATCCACTCTAATTTTCACCCAAATTGCGGTATAAACTGTTGTTATTAGCAATGGGATTATCGATGGCTGTTGTGTTTTTCATATTGTGAAGAAAAGTGAAGATAGTTAAAGCATGTCCATCAATGAATTTTAAAGAAGGGGTTCATCCGAATATAATAATATTTTTTTTTGTTTTGTTTTTTTATTTTTTTAAATTCAAAAATTATTTTTTTGGACCAATTAGAATGTTCAATGTGTGATGATACCGTCTCTTCAAGTTCGTCGGAAAAAACCTATGCCATGAACCTCTATATTTTTATTATTATTTTATTAGATTTCGTCTTAAAACTTATATCATCAACTCTTGAAGAATCCCTGATGAAAAGTTTATACTCTCACCACTATTTAATCTTAGAAGCATGAAATTACATATATTCATTTTTGTCCGTGGAGTTTGAGTCAGGAATGTTCAGTTTCAGCCACCATTAGTCTGTCTAATCTGACGGTTCTCAACTGACTTTATACTCAGTTTCATTTGTAGGAAAAGAAAAAAATTCTTGTGTCTCAAATTGGACGAAACTTCCAACAATAGTACTTCATGACTTGCCGTGATCGGTGCCACGAGTTGCACAATGATTGTTTCTTTACATCTTTCAAACAGTGTGCAACCAGCTTTACACGAATAAATTTGACCTATCAATTTCTCGGTACTCAAATTTTTATTCTAACATTTTCAAGAGATATTTTATAACTTCAAATATAAAATTTTATGTATTCCAAAAGATATTCTAAAACCTCAAATTTTGAAATATTGAACAGTGATACCTCAAACATAAGTATCACTGTTCAGTGTTCAATACTTCATATTTGAGGTTTTTTTTAATTTGCATTTAAGTCCTTTCAATTATATATTTTAAAATTAATCATAATAAACTTTATAATTATTATTTTAATTCTCCTAATTTTATGTTTCATTAATATTTCACATATAAATAAATATATATACATAAAATTTTTAAAAAATGTTTTATAATAGAAATAATAATAACAATCTAGCAAAAATAATACATAACATTTAAAAAAAATACATAAAATAATATTACATAAAGAAAATTTAATACAAACTAAAATAACATAAGAAAATAAATTACATAAACATATAAATATTATAAAAATAAAAATATTACAACAAAACTAATATTCAGGTAAATTAGATCATGAACCTCCAAAATCACCAAAATATTGTCCATACAAATTTGGTGTAACTGAAGGTGGTGGTTGTTGTTGTTATTCTTGAGTTCTTTTTGGATGGTTTACTTGCTCGGAATGAAGAAACTCACGAGTATTAGTATTAGTAATAGAGTCTAAATCTGTTAACAATATTTTATTTTCCTCCTACATTTTTTTAAGGCTAATTTTTTTGCTTGATTTTGCATTCGTAATTGAGCCATCTCATTATCTGTATCCCTAGTTAATGCACTTTCTTTTAAGAAATCAAGGATTTCTTCATTTGATGAAACTATAGTATTGACAGATGAATTATTACCTTCAACAATCTTCTTTTTAAGTTTTGATTTCTTTGATCCAATGAGATGTTGTGGAGAATTTGATCCACCATCATCGGCATTTAAATTGATTGAAAATGAAGACATTCCGGGAGATTGTGATGTTGGGGAGACAACAATATCACTCCCAGTATTAGGAGTGTCTGGAATACATATGTGATATTGTCTATAAACTTTGGAATATCCTTCATCAAAGTCCACACATGATCAAATTTAAAATATTTTTTTAGTTTTGGATCTTGTATCAATTAATATTGTTAATATTTTCTAATATGCGTTTTATAGTTATTTATCAAAGTATTATGATCTTAGTTAATTATTATTATTATTATTATTATTAGTGAGGACTAAAAAGTAAAGTACACTATTTTTAAGGTATCATTTGATGTATATTATTGGAGAACATCACCCTCAAACCTCAAATATAAGGTTTTCCATACCGTAAAAATACAGTATTTCTTGAAAATATTCTAAATCCCAATTGGCAATAGATAATAATGTAATATATATGAGTTAATTGGTTATTTCTAAGACCATTTCCAACCATATTTCAAAATTGAGTTTTGAGAAAAAAACATTTCTAATCCTACCTCATATATCACTCCAAAATGGAGTTACTTCAAATATGAAACAAAAAATAAAGTTACTCCATTTTTTTTATTCATAACTCTATTTTAGAGGAAAAAAGAGAATATAATTAGAGTAAAACACAACTCAATTTCAAATTACTCTAAAATAGAATAAAATATAGAATATATATTGGAGATGCCCTAACTGTTGCGATTGGAAACGAACCATTTTAGAAATTATCAATCAAAGAGATGGGTGGAAGAACCGATTGAAAAAATGGTTGGAAAGGTTGCCAACAGTCCGTTAAATTCGATATATAATTATATACTTTAAATGTCGGGTAAATGAAATTCACATTGTCGAAAAAGAAAAAAAGAAATCACATCCTTGTCAATTTTTTTTTTTCATTCTTGTAATAAACTCACTTCAATATTTAGAAGACATCCCAATTCAGGTTTTTTTTTTGGATTACTATTCAGGTTTAACTTGTACTGCCAAGATTGTTTATTATGAACTCATTTTTATTCATACAGTGAAGTTGTCGCAAGCGTGAAACAATTTAAGCTTGTACGTTTGAAGAATGTGTTGTTAACGATTACCAGAAATCAATAAACTTCGGGATATATTACTGAATCGATAAATGCCAATCATAAAATTTATGGCCAAAAAGAAGAAAGAAACCATGTAGATATTAAGATATATAATACGTAAAAGCAATATATTTAAATCACTATACAGTATTTCGATACGTGCGACAAGAAAAGAGAGGCTATATATCGAAACTACAGGTGAAACATTAAAATCACCATTAAATGTTAATATCCACTAATATCACGAAAGATGGTAGTGTATGAAAAATAGAAAACGTACTGAAAAAAATAATGAGGAATTACATAATTTAGTCAGTTCAAAGCAGATCTACAAGAGGGAGTTCACAAAGATTTGTTTGTTTGTTTGTTTGTTTTCTTTTTGGTTAAAGAGGATTATAAAAAGATTAATTAGTCTCTTTTTACCATCGCTATTCTAAAGTAAATTAATAATTTTGTAAATAATATATTTGTGAGCTGAGTATAAAGGATAGATGCAAGTGAAAGAGTTATATATAATGCTGCTTAGATAACTAATGATACTTGCTTGGATAATTCAAAAACTACCTCAAAATGTTATTACTCCATTGCGTGTGTACTTTGTGTGTACGTCTAAACTACTAACTATTCATCCACTAATATCACCATTTTTACTTGTTCTTTCTCCACTTCTTCATTAAGATGGGTGGCCATCCTCTTTGAACTCTAAACTTTAATGAAAAACAAAGGTCTTTGGCACATGTATCTCTAGTCGGAGATGCCTATCCAAAATGACAGAAACACATCATCGTTGTCATTATATATAGTAGTAAAGCTTCTCAATGTACCACTCCAACATTTTCTCAATCTCCTTTTGTATTTCCTCATTTTCTGTGTGGGCGCGATTGTTGGAATCATTGTTCATTCCTCTCTACAAGAAGTCTCTTCGCCTTACTCCTCGACAGTCCAAAGTGTCTCCCAACTCTTCCTTGTCACCTCCCCTCCTCCTGCTTCTCCTCCCCATTCTCCTTTGTCTCCAAACAACGAGCCTGGAATGTTTCTGAGGCCACCGAAGAGCATCATGCACAATATGGAAGATAAAGAGCTTTTTTGGAGAGCTTCAATGGTGCCCAAGATAAGAAATTACCCTTTCCCTCGAACGCCAAAGGTTGCTTTCATGTTCTTGACAAGGGGGCCTTTACCTTTAGCTCCTCTATGGGAAAGGTTCTTTCGAGGACATGAAGGTCTTTTCACGATCTACGTCCACACCAATCCGTTTTACAACGAATCCGTGCCCCAAGGTTCTGTGTTTCATGGCCGACGCATTCCAAGCAAGGTCAGCTTCCCACACCATGGATTATTATCTTTCGCTTATATGTCTTTTTACTTTTTCATTTTGGTGTGTCAAAACTTATAGCAAGTTTTGGTGAAATATCAAAATCCTTTAACCAATAAAACACCATAAGATATTGACCGTTTCTTCCAATATATATGTATAAGTTTATGTAATCAAATTAGTTAATATCAATGTATTATGTTTATGGTTGTGATGAATATATCAAATTAAAGAGAGAACCATAAGTGACAAGTGAGTCACAACTAACGTAATTATTATTTAGAAACGCAGAGAGTAAATTGGGGAAACGCAAACATGGTAGACGCAGAACGAAGGTTACTAGCAAACGCTCTATTAGATATCAACAACGAGCGTTTCCTTCTTCTCTCCGAGTCATGCATCCCTCTCTTCAACTTCACCACTCTCTACTCTGACCTCATCAACTCCACTCAAACCCACGTAGAGTCCTACGACCTACCCATCGGTCGCGTCCGCTACAACCATCGCATGTATCCTCACATCCACATGCACCACTGGCGCAAAGGCTCTCAGTGGTTCGAGCTAGACCGAGCCATGGCACTCGAGGCAGTCTCCGACACGTTCTACTGGCCCATCTTCAAGGCATACTCTCGATGCCCCGACGAGCACTACTTCCCGACGCTGCTGAACTTGATGCCGAGCCAGCTCGGGTCACGTAACTCGAACCGGACGCTGACGTGGACTGACTGGGGCAAGCGTAGGGCTCACCCGAGGACGTTTGGTGCGTTGGAGGTGAATGTTGGGTTCTTGGAGTGGCTTAGGAGGAGTGACAAAGAGTATTGTGAACACAATGGAGAGGTTAATAAGACGAGGCTTTGCTTTCTCTTTGCTCGCAAGTTTTCGCCGAATGCTTTGGATAAGTTGCTCCAGTTTGCATCTACCGTCATGCATTTCTGATCTCTCTCTCTCTCTTACATTTTTTATTCGTGGATATGTAAAGGTAGTAAGTTGTACTCTCAATTTGTTTTTACTTTTTATACGCTTTCTACCAAAGTTTTCTGTAAAACAAAAACCCTCCAACTATATACACTCTTTCTCATATGTACCCTCCAGGCTCAACTGCGAAAAAATACAAAAATATCATAAAAATCTCGAAATATAACCCTCCACGGCTCCACCATATATATATAAGAGCGTAACACTGCTTAGACCATGTCTTTCTCAAAAAAAAAAAAAACACTGCTTAGACCATGTTCAGCAGAGTATCTTAAGTGGGATTCTTAGCTTTTTCTAAAATAAAAATTAATTAATAACCTAAAATTCGATCTTTAATTAAGAACCGAAATCTTAAGTATTATGTGTCTATTTCTGATTGGATAAAGGTGTTAAGAAGAAAAAAAACTTGTTTTTCTACGCGATATCTTTCCTTTCTCTTTCTACGCTTCTCCTCGCTTTCTCCGTTGCCAACCTCCATCTTCGGGCTGCCGATTCAGTTCATTTTGCGGTACCTGAGAGTTTTTGTTTCTAGTTGGTTAGTCTTAGTTTTTCATAGATTTCTGAAATGAGTTTTTATTTTTAGTTGGTCATTAAATTTTTTTTTTTTTTTTGTCAACAGCCTAAATACCTAGAACGGTTCAGAAGTCCAAACCGGAGGTACCGAGTTAACATACATAACATCGTGTGGGTAGACTCGTGCACTTCGTGCTAGGTTGTCTGTCTTCATATTCTTTGCGCGCGGAATGTGTGAAATTGAAAAAAATGTAAAAGCCTCCTTACTCTTCACAACCTCCTCTAGATGTAAGTCAAAAGCTGGTCATTCTTCTGGTGTCGACACCATCTTCACCAATTCAGAATAGTCTGTTGCGAAAGCTACCTCCGTCTTCTGGTTTGCAATCATGCATAGCATAGCCCAGATAAGTGCTTCTAGTTCAGCATGTAGTGGTGATAAGCTTCGTCGTACATTCCTTGCTCCTAGTATTTTTTCCTCCATTCCATCTTTAAAATAGTACCATCCAAGGCCGGTCGCTTTGTCCGTGTCTTTCCAAGACCCATCTACATAGCACCACCCCCCCCCCCTCATAGCGAGAGGTGATAGAAGGGTTGTTTGCCATTTGCAGTTGGGGTATCGATTCGCTCTGTTGTGCTTCTTCCCAAAGTTTGGCTTCCGTTTCTGCAATCCGTAGTGTCATTTGCGGATCCTTATCGATATTTGAAAACCACTTTTCGTTTCTTGCTTTCCAAATGTACCATACTATCCATGGGAACTGTGTGTTTTGATTCTCCTTCGGGATTTTCCAAAAAAGATGATCAAAATTTGCAAAGACCGATGACATTGGAAAAACTCCTGTAGGAGAGGGTATCTGAGAGAGAGCCCATACTTGCAACGCTGGTGGGCATTCAAAAAGAGCATGATTTATTGTTTCTTCCTCTGCTCCACACCGAAAGCATTGCGTATCACATTGGAGTCCCCGATTATTTAAATTTGTAGCCATTGGCAAACATCCTGTTATAGCCTGCCAAATGAATGCCTTAGTTTAGGAGAGCATTTCAGCTTCCAGGCTTGTGCCTGTAACTTTGTAATGTCTGGTCCAACAAGCTTTCCATATTCGATCTGTGAATATTGGTTCTCCACTTGGTATCCTGATTTTACCGTATAGCGTCCTGTCCTTGTTAAAAACCAGCCGAGAGAATCCGGTCTATATGTATTGCTTATAGGCATACTCCGTATTATTTCTACATCTCGTTCATCAATAATTGCATTCAGTAAGTCCAGATTCCATGTATTTGTTGCTGGGTCAATCAAATGATTAACTTTTAGATCCGGGTAATAATTGTAACTCTTACATATGGCAGACCTCGGGCGAGAAGACGGAATCCAGGGGTCATTCCATATTAGAGCAGAGAAAACAAAAATTTCTTAATAAAATTTCTTAACATAAATTTTATAATTAAATGTTTACTAAGAATCCCATGTTAATATTCTTAAAGCTACAACATTTTGTTTGAGGTTTTTAAACAGGTTTTGGAAAAACCAATACTAGATTCGAATAGCTCTTATTGAAACATTTCCCATGGGATATCTAACACATTTAATTTGTTTGACCAATAATTCTAAATTAAAATAATTCAAGAATTTACAATTTAATGCTCGTAAGAATTTATAATATAATATTGTTAACTTTTTCGCGCCTTGCGCGGACTAATATAATTTTTATTTGATTGTTTGAAAATCTAATAGTAGTTTGGATTCATTTGTTTTTTTTTTTTTTGAGTACATTTGTTGTTAGATTTCCTTGCATTTTAATGTTGGAAAACATGATTGTGAAAACAGTATATAATAGAAGAGAATAAATAAAAACATAGCAGTATCCAAATAATTTAGTTTAAATAGTTTTTAGATATTTTGATCACTGTTCTATGTATTTTAGGCAAAATTTTTTGAAGTATCGCATGAACTTATTCTATTTTGATCAGTTTTTTATGTGTTTTAAACATCACAAATACCATCATTCCATTAGTTAGATATATATATATCCATTTTTTTTTCTTTAAAAAAAAACATTTTTATCATAGTTTTTTGTTTTTAAATTTTAGTTTTGTTTTTATTTTGAAACAACATTTCATTACTTTTTGAATAGATTCTATTTTTTTTTTTACATTTTTGTTAATTGTTTTTTAAATTTTGAAAACATAAAAATGGTAAACACTAAGATATATAGAAGATTCATTTTTTTTTTCTTTAAAAAAAACGTTTTGTTTATTTTTTTTCTAAATTTGAGTTTTATAAAATTTTAGAAACGGTTTAATTTGACAGTAAAATTAAGCATTAAACCATTATAATTTAGATCGGTTTGTTTTAAGTTATTTTTTATACATCATCAATTAAAAACCAATTAAAAAATAACACGTAATTGCAAAATGAGATTAAACGGTCTTTTGCGACCAAAACTCATTCTGGAGCTGACACGTAAGCGAAAGGCTGTGAAAGTAGAAGATTCCTTTTTTTCTTTTAAAAAAATTTTTGTTTATTTTTTTCTAAATTTTTGTTCTATAAAATTTTAGAAACGGTTTAATTTGACAGCAAAATTAAGCATTAAATTTATTATAATTTAGATCGGTTTGTTTTAAGTTACTTTTTACACATCATCAGTTAAAAACCAATTAAAAAATAACATGTAATTGCAAAAAGAGACTAAACAATCTTTTTGCGACCAAATCTCATTCTGGAGCTGATACGTAAGTAAAAGGCTGTGAAATTTACTGTGAACGCGTCAGATAAGCAAATCATTACACAAATAAGTATATAGATTGCTCGGGCTGCTTCCACGAAATATCAATGACCATAATAAGCTGAGAAAGTTGTTGTATCTATATAAGCAAACAAGATTATTTGATCTCTAGAAAAACTTTTCTATATAATTCGTGACTTTGTATAATAACAAGATCATTAAATCTTTAGATTTAGGATTTTAAAATTGATATTCCATGTAAATCTGATTTGTATATTATATTCTAAATCAAGACTCCCGTTTAGTTACTCAAAATTAATTTCATAATTCACAATTAAAAAAATCAAAATTAATCCATATTATCAACAAACAATCTCTCTAAATGAATAAGAATATCCAAAAAACAAACCTCAAATTTATATAACTTAAAAATGAATCTAATTTTAAATATTATGAATCTTATACAAATTTAGTAGTTTACATTTTTTATTATTTCTAATATCTATTTTTATTTTATTTTGTTAATTTTTATTTTTTAGACACATTTTTTGTTATTTTATCTATTTGAAAATAAACAACTAAAAATTTAAATATTATACTGACACATGTTACAACATTAATTAACAATAACATATATCAAATTAATTTATGAATTAGAATTATCTTACATATCATGTTAAATACACTCAACTTTATATAAAGACTAGCCTGTAAACTCTATTTTCTGAATAATTAATCTTCAATTATAGAGTAATACTGTTCATTTCACTATTTTTAGAATATTTCTTTTTAGTTAAAAATAAGAATTCTCAATTTTTTATATATATTTTTTTTCTTAAGAAATGAAATAACAAGCAATATTGTACTTAATTAAAAATATATTAACAATAACTAATTCTATAATCATTTATAATTATATAATAGAGTATTAGTTGTTTGTTTTTTAATAATATATAATAACAACAATGTATTAGTTGTTATAATAATATATAATAATAATAACGTATTAATTGTTTGTTTTTCAATTTCTGTGGTTAAATAAAATTTTATAATAAAATAATTAAAATTATTATTATATTAAACTATTGTTAAAAAAATAATTTAAAATTCTTAAAAGAAATGATTTTGTATGAAATTAATATTTATAAATATATATATATAATTTATTTGGAAATATAGATGTATTCATTAAAGTAAATTTCTTTTCTATTTTTCGAGTGAAATAGAGTAACAACCATTTTTACTCTATTTTTACTCTATTTTTACTATTTTTACTATTCACATTAAAGTATATATAGATGTACTCATTAAAGTAAATCTCTTTTCTATTTTTCAAGTGAAATATAGTTGTTATACTATTTTTACTCTCAAGGATCTTGTTGGATGTAGTTTCAATGGTCAACTCCCTGAATCAATTGGAGCTCTAGCTAGAACAATTTATTTATCTTATACTGTATCCTTGAGTCTCTCTAAACTCATTAGTGTTTCTTACATGCATATAGCGTCATGAATTTAAATCAATTTAGTGTAAAAATTCCAGTTTCCATAGGAGACGGTTATCGAAACTCTATTGGTTCCAAAAAAAACTTCCAGTTTCTAATGGAATTTCTTCAATTGGACTTACATGTTTCTTAAAACTAAGGACTTCAATATATAATCCCAAATCAATTTAATTAGTTTAATATAATCACTCTTTTTCAATACATACTAACTGATCTGGAACTCAACTTCAATCATTTTGCAAACACCAACATTTCGGGTGATAAGAATATATTTGATTATAGACTCCAAAATACTTTCAATAACATTTTTATTTCTACTCTCTTTTAATGAAAAGAATTTTTTCAAGAACATTCGTTATTGATTTATTTATAAATATTGTAGGTGACTGTCACTCGTTAATATGATGTTATTATATTGATATATTGTTACTGGTTAGAGGTCAAAGTCGTGAATTAGTCCCTTCATTATGCCAACAAAATCATATCTCTTTTTATCTCTCATTAGTCTCCATAAGATCGTTATCCTTAAAAAGGTCATATAGGTTATTGATTTTTTAAATATCAATTCCAATTGAACCATCACTTACAGAGAAACGATACAATGGCTATTTTCTTTTCGATACGTGATTTAAAGAAGCTAGTCAGTCAGATAATTTCACTTTGATACACATAAATGTAAATCTTACCTGAGATGTGACACCAAATACGCCAAAAGAGACTTTTAAAACGTCTAATCTAATAAAATTGTTGCCAATGAGAATTGAGAATTCTAACGATGGCATATCCTTAATCATGCTACTTTTCCCGATAACTACCATGGGCTCCCGTAGCCATCATCCTACTAATGTGGTGTCATTCTCAATGCAAGTCCCGCTTTTGCAGCATCATGTATGAGTTGGCAGGGTGATACGCCACTCTGAACCAATAATCATTGCTGCGTTATAATGCTCAACGTATTGTCCAGATATTTAGTATTGATAAGTTTACTACTCTCTTCGTCTACACAAGCCAATGCAATGTGAAAACTGTGTCACCATGGGCATCTTCTGCAGCGCCTGTGTTCCTTTAGATACAATTTATAGTAATTCGTCCTATATAGATACACTTTTACCAATTTAGGTCTACTCGAAATAACTTTCTTCTTTCGAGCAGAGAGAGTTATTCATTCTTTAGGTTTATATCTTTTAAATTAATTTTTTTAGTTATATATGTAGACCTAAATTGGTAACACTTTCTAAATTAAGACCTCTGTTTAAATTTTCAAAACTTGATATAAAAATGGTTGAAACATAAATTATGTTTTTTATTAACTAAAAAAAGCTGCTAACTTCGGTCAGAATCTAAAGTTTTTAATCCATCACCATGATAAAACAAAAATAGCGAAGAAATTTAATCGTATGCAGATTCAATAATCATACATGAGTTATCAATTTAGAATTAAAAAATGACTCTACAAGTATATAAAGTTTATAATACTAAAAACTAGAAAAAAAAATTTGTTATCATATGTTTGAAAACTTATGGTAAAGATTCATGTTTAATGTTTACACGTCTGAATTTGGTCATTGCATTCTTTATAAAAAAAAATAATAATTTGGTCATTGAATTATTATTCAATGTTGTATAATAATTCTAGTTTATTGATGATCTAGTCTAGTTTAATTTTGGAGTTTGTTAATTTTGATTTACAAAACGTAAATCCTATATAATTAAATGTGAATATTACTTTAATTATATGCATCATAATTATGGAAATATCAAATTTGGACTCTATATTTCCTAAATTATTTGCATTTTCTATATAAAATAAGATTTTTTTAATTCCTTCTTGAATTTTATTGTTTTGTTTAAAACTTTATAATATTGTTTTGTTTGTATTAGTATTTCTTTTCAAATACAATTCAGGTTGAGCATCGAACTAAAACAAAAAAATTACAGGACGGAAAAAATCGAACACCATATTTTTTTTTTTTTTGACTTCTCCTGGAAACCCTTGTTTCGCTTTCTTTCTTCTTCTCTTGTCCATCTTATTTGGTGAGCTTTAGATCCTCGTTTCTGGCTCTTCTGTTCATCGCTTCTCTCCGAAGTTATAAATTCCATAAAATTCGTGCCAATCCTCGGTCGAAGATACCTGAATTCGTATTGTTCTAGGTCCGCCGCTTGTTGGATCTGCAAATTCCCTTTGAATTTCCCTGAAATTTCTTCGAATTTGAGACGTTTTTGGTTGGAAGATTTGATCAGAGGAATTGAGAGAGAGAGGAAAATAAAAAGTTGAGAGGATGAGTTCGAAGAAGGTGGAAGGGTCGTCTTCTCCGGCGATTCGACGAGACCCTTACGAGGTGCTTTCAGTATCAAAAGATGCGAATGATCAGGAAATCAAATCAGCTTACAGAAAATTAGCTCTAAAGTAAGCTTATGCACAAACTTCGAATTATTGATTTTTCTCTTCTCAGAAAGATTTAAGCTTTTCTTGCCTTCAATCTCATGGCCTTGAATGGAATTACTTTTGATACCATATAATGCATTAGCCCTGTCAAGTGTCAACTGTTGGATGATGATTTACATTTTAATTGAGTTTTATCTGATTCAAAACAATGGATAGGTATCATCCGGACAAGAATGCCAACAATCCTGATGCTTCCGAACTTTTCAAGGAAGTTGCATATTCCTATAGCATTTTGTCTGACCCGGAAAAGAGAAGGCAATACGACAATGCAGGATTTGAGGTGATGCCTTGTTTCTTTGTTTACACTTAATGTAAACCCAAATGAGAGTGTCTGTTCTGTTCTTGTCCATTATAGAACTATGCCTGCTCATAAGTACTTCTTATTAAACTCATCCAAGAAGAGAACATGGATTATGTCTTCTATGGTTGTTTTTTTTCTTCTAGATGTGTAGTTTCCGTTTTCAAGTACTGTATCTATCTTGCAGCTTCACTAAGAGTTGTTGTATATGTATTAGGCCCTCGATGCTGATGGAATGGACATGGAAATCGACTTGTCAAACCTTGGAACTGTAAATACAATGTTTGCAGCATTATTCAGGTTAGTTATTCACCCTTTTTCCTGAATCTCTTAGTAAGCACTCTATTAACCTTTCGTTCTCCTTAAAAAATGTCAACATTCAGCAAACTAGGTGTGCCTATCAAAACTACTGTATCTGCCAACGTTCTTGAAGAGGCTATGAATGGAACGGTTACAGTTAGGCCCCTTCCTATTGGAACATCAGTTAGTGGGAAGGTGTGAACTCAGATTACACGAATTTCTTCTTACCTTATTTCCTCGTATCTTTGGAACTAAAGTTTTGTTGCATCTCATATCAGGTAGAGAAGCAATGCGCTCATTTTTTTGGAGTTACGATAAGTGAACAACAAGCTGAATCAGGTGTTGTTGTTAGAGTAACATCAACAGCACAAAGTAAATTTAAGGTATCCTGACAGTGTTTACTATACTCAGTGCATGCTTCTTGTCCTTCGCTTCTAACTTGTAAATGGTTTTCACGTAGTTAACGCTGTGACTAACTTCTAAACCTGTCTATCTGCAGTTACTTTATTTTGAGCAAGATCCAAGTGGCGGCTATGGATTGGCCTTACAGGTACACAAGAATATTGCTCTTAGTATTAATAGAATGTTGTTCTTAGTATTACACTATTGCTTAACTATCTTTTAGATGAGAAAAGATGCACCTGGGAAAATGTTCAGCTAGTTCTTTAAGGAAGGTTTCCGTTTTTCTCATGGTGCTTCCATAACAACATGAGGCTTTTATTTGTTCTTGCAGGAAGAGAGTGAGAAAACAGGCAAATTGACATCAGCTGGCATGTATTTCTTACATTTTCAAGTATACCGAATGGATTCGACAGTAAATGCGGTATGCAAGATCTGAACATTTTTCGTTCATAATTAGCTGACATCTTAGAATATGCAGAGGTATTAAAGCAATCCACATTGTGGTATTGTGCAGTTAGCTGCAGCCAAGGACCCAGAATCTGCTTTCTTCAAGCGATTGGAAGGTCTTCAACCTTGTGAGGTTTCGGAACTGAAAGCTGGCACTCATATATTTGCAGTTTATGGTATAAATTATTATTCTCTTTCTTTTTTGCGATAGCTAGAACTTTCTCTGAGACCTTAGTTTAACTGGTCTCTTGTTACTTTTTAGGTGATAACTTCTTTAAGACTGCATCCTACACGATTGAGGCACTCTGTGCCAAGACATATGAGGACACAACAGAGAAGTTGAAGGAGATTGAAGCTCAGATCTTAAGAAAGAGAAACGAGTTGCGGCAGTTTGAAACAGAGTACCGAAAAGTAATTCTTGATATTCTTGAGAGCTCTTGTCACTCTTTAGGGGAGACATCTAAGCTGATGACTTGCTATATTCTTTTGCAAGGCTTTGGCGCGCTTTCAAGAAGTAACCAACAGATATACCCAGGAGAAGCAAACTGTGCGTTGATGACTCTAATTCCTCTTCCTGCAAACTTATGCTTTGATTAGAACACAATGATTCTAAAGAAGAGATGATGTTTTGTGAACTTTCTGCATCATCTTAGTGTTTTAATTTGTGTATATTGGATGATGATGAAGGTGGATGAGCTGCTAAAGCAACGAGATACAATCCATTCATCTTTCTCTGCCGTGAAGACACCGAGCGGCAGCAACTTGAGCAATGGGAGTAGTAGTAAAGCTCAGGGAGAGGAATCAAAAGGCGATGGTGATAGTGCTGGAGAAGAAGGCGGATCAGAGAGTAGAGACAAATCGAAGAGGAAATGGTTCAACTTGAACCTAAAAGGATCTGATAAGAAGCTTGGTTAACCTGTCCAAAATGGCGGATTTGTTGTGGGTCATTGGTTTATTCGTTAGACAGAACCGACTTGGTGACTGTTCTGTCACTGGGAGGTTGTGGTCTATGTATGTTTCTGTAGGCATATATATATATATGTTCATGGGAATGGTTTGAAAGAGAGAGAGAGATGCAAAAGCTCAACTTGAGAGTGGTTTTGAAATGTATGCATATGCATCATTGATTCATTGTTTTGTTATATTAACAGAATTGTCATTGTTTCGAAAGTGAGTTGAAGGTGTATTTTTGTAGTTTTTCGTAGGTCAAGGGTCGGTTTGTGAAAACTTGAAAGTTTGAGCTTCCTTTGCAATTTCTCTAGAAAAAAAACAAAACAGAGGAAAATCGGACAATTTCCCGGAAGCCCTTGTTTCGTGTTCTTACACAATCTTCTTCCCTCTTGTTGGATGAGATCAGATCCTAGTTTCTAGTTTCATTTCTTCATCGTTTCTGAAATTAGAGCAATTCCTCGGTTGAAGATAATTGTCCTAGGTCCGGTGGTGTTTTTGATCTGCAAATTCCGTTTTGAACTTTCCTTGGAATTAAAGACAATCGGTGATTGAATTAAGTAGGCGGAGATTTGGTCGGAAAATAAAGATTTGGGAGGATGAGTTCGAAGAAGGTGGAAGGGTCGTCTTCTCCGGCGATTCGACGGGACCCGTACGAGGTGCTTTCAGTATCAAAAGATGCCAATGATCAGGAAATCAAATCCGCTTACAGAAAATTGGCTCTAAAGTAAGCTTCTACGCAGAATCGAATTATAATGATTGTTTTTGTTTATAAATCTGGAAGATAATCTGATTTCTCTTCGCAGAAGTATTTAAGCTTTTTTCGTGGCTACAATCTCATGGCCTTGAATGCCATCTCTCGTGAATTTTTAGGTTGCTATTTTGGCTATTTGTTTTTGAATTCCATGTTTTGATACTGTAGGCCTTGTGTTAAGTCTAGTGCTGGAACATTGTAATTATCCTCTGTGTGATTATTAGGAAGTGTTGAGAGATCAACAGCTATAGCTGAGTGGGTTTAGTTAGACTTAGAGAGATAACAGTTTAGGCAGAATGAGTTTGGGATTCTAGATTGGTCTAGGATCTTGATTTCGTAATTGGTAAAGAGTTAGAGAAGTTTACCCTGTCATGATCTTCGATATGATGTGCTAAGTATGTAAGAATCTACCTCGTGCGTTTTCATAGCTTGGTGAAAACTTATTCACGGCATCTTGTACTTGATCAGATTCTTCTTCTTTTCTTCTGTTCATCTGTTTTGTCCTAATGACTTTCTTTTGGATGGTGCTTTACGTGAGATTTCCTTTATTGGGTTTCAACAATGGATAGGTATCATCCAGATAAGAATGCCAACAATCCCGAAGCTTCTGATCTTTTCAAGGAAGTTGCATTTTCCTACAGCATTTTGTCTGACCCGGAAAAGAGAAGGCAATATGACAATGCGGGATTTGAGGTGATGCTTGTTTCTTGTTAGTAATTTTAAGAAAGATTAGGAAGAGTATTATCAAAAGCACACTCTCACTCCCTCGTTTCATACTTGATGTCCCCAAATTAGTGTGTCTATTCTATACTTTCGCTTTATAGAATAACGCCTTCTCTTCTCCTCTCTTAATGTGCTCTTCTACAGTCCTACTTTGTCAAAAAAAAAAATCCATTAATTGACCAATTCTTGTATAGTTATGGCTCTTTTTTCATGTTGTCCTACGCATTTTTGTGTCTATAATAAGAACTGTTTCATGATATTAGGCCATCGATGCTGATGGAATGGACATGGAAATTGACTTATCAAACCTTGGAACTGTAAATACCATGTTTGCAGCATTATTCAGGTTTGTTGTTTACCCTCTTTCCGTTTCTCTTTAGAAAGCAATCTGTTTCGAATCCAACTCTGTTAAACTTTTGTTCTCCTTAAAAATATCAAAATATAGCAAACTAGGTGTGCCTATCAAGACTACGGTATCGGCTAATGTTCTTGAAGAGGCTATGAATGGAACGGTTACAGTTAGGCCCCTTCCTATTGGAACATCAGTTAGTGGGAAGGTATGTCCTCGGATCCCATGACTTTCTGCTTACCTCACTTACTTGCGTCTTTGGAACTGAAGCTATTTAATATCTCATATCAGGTAGAGAAGCAATGCGCTCATTTTTTTGGAGTTACGATAAGTGAACAACAAGCTGAATCAGGTGTTGTTGTTAGAGTAACATCAACAGCACAAAGTAAATTCAAAGTATGCTCGCAGTGCCCATTGTTACTAAACTTCAGGGTTGTTTTTCATCTAATTAAAGCCAAGACTACTTTTTGATTCTTGTTTATCTGCAGTTACTTTATTTTGAGCAAGATTCAAGTGGCGGCTATGGATTGGCCTTACAGGTACAAGTGAATATATCTCATAGCATGACCCTGTTACTTAAGTGTCCTTAGATGAGAAAAAAGCACAGTGTTCTTTTAAACGGTTTCCATTTTTTCTCATGCTGATATCTTTAACAGCATCAGGCTTTTATATATTATTACAGGAAGAGAGTGAGAAAACAGGCAAGGTAACATCAGCTGGCATGTACTTCTTACATTTCCAAGTATACCGAATGGATTCAACAGTCAATGCGGTATGCAAGCTCTAAACATTTTTCGTTCATAAATTAGCTGACATCTTAGAATATGAAGAGGTATTAAAGCAATCCCCATTGTGGTTATTGTGCAGTTAGCTGCAGCCAAGGACCCTGAATCTGCCTTTTTCAAGAGATTGGAAGGTCTTCAACCTTGTGAGGTTTCGGAACTGAAAGCTGGCACTCATATATTTGCAGTTTATGGTATGCATAATAATTCTCTTTTTACAATAGCTTGAGCTTTTTGGAGACCTTAGTTTAACTAGTCTCTACTTACTTTTCAGGTGACAACTTCTTTAAGACTGCATCGTACACGATTGGGGCACTCTGTGCAAAGACCTATGAGGATACAACAGAGAAGTTGAAGGAGATTGAAGCTCAGATTTTAAGAAAGAGAAACGAGCTGCGGCAGTTCGAGACAGAGTACAGAAAAGTATTTTCCTACTGTTGAGATCAGTCAATATTTAGGGAGAAATGTAACCTGATGAGTTGCTATATTTTGTTTGCAGGCTTTGGCGCGTTTTCAAGAAGTTACCAACAGATACACACAGGAGAAGCAAACTGTATGTTGTTAGATCTCTTATGGTTTTATGACACTTTATTCTGCCTGTGATTAACCTTATCGATTCTACTATTATCTGGTTTGATCTTAAACAGCATCCTTGTCTCTTTAAACTCTTTGTCACCGATGCTAAAGTGTTTGATTTGTCTTCTTTGGATGCTGGTGAAGGTGGATGAACTGCTAAAGCAACGGGATTCAATCCATTCGTCCTTCTCTGTTGTGAAAACACCAAGCGGCAACAACTTGAGCAATGGGAGTAGTAGCAAAGCTCAGGGAGAGGAATCAAAAGGCGATGGTGAGAGTGCTGGAGAAGAAGGCGGATCAGAGAGTAGAGACAAATCCAAAAGGAAATGGTTCAACTTGAACATGAAAGGATCTGATAAAAAGCTTGGTTGAACCAAAAGGTGGATTTGTTTCTATATCGCCTACCTCTAAGTCTCATTCGATATTTTTTTCATTCGATTCAAGGGAACTAATCTGTGTGTCACAAGCAAATATGTTCATTAAGCTCTTTTGCTGTGGAGGCATTGTTGTGGTTATAGGAAAGCTTTTCAACTTGGGTGTTTCAGCTCATCTCTACTCTTTGGACCGCCATATATCGTAGAACAAGTTTTTGCTTTTGTTTTTGTAGTTTTCGTAGAACAAGTTAAAGATAGTTTTCATGATACTAAATTACAATTTCATACATTCGACAGATTTAAAATAAGTTTATTATTTGAATTTTTTTAGAATAATGTATTTGGTTTTTGTAGTAGTGATGGACAAATGGATTACGGAATGATTGTGAAATGTTTAATTCACTAGGAATTAACCCGCACATTGTGTAGGGTAATATTTTTTTAATTATCTTTAAATTTAATTTAATTTTTTGTTAAATTAAAATTAGTGGCAAAAATCATTAACAAAAAATATAAATAAATAAAATTGGTTGCAATTAGATAACAATACATATATAAATATCACACAACTGATACTTATTTGTATATATATCCATCAAATAGAACTTTGAACTAGTTTTATTATGCGGTTTAATTATTAGTAGTTTTTAAATGTAAAAGTGATAATGATATTAATATATAATACTTATATACATACCAACGTTGATTAGAATCTAAATATATATATATCCATAAAATAAGAATTTAACTGTAAATATTTTATTAGATCAAACTATCATTTTTAGTTAATAAATTCTATAATATGTGTTAATAATGATTTTATATAGGATTGTCAAAGTGGACAAACCCGTCTACTTAATTTATTTTGTAATTTCCTAAAATATTTTTTTGACTAATCCGTAAAAATACAATTTAAATTTTGAAAACATATTTCAGTTTTTTTTTAATAAAAATAATTGAATAATTTTTAAAAAATGATACTAATTAATTATGAAAATACAAATGAAAAATATTGCAAAAGTTTAAGTAGATTTTTTCATATATATTGACTGATTATTATTTAAAATAATTAAATATATTTTAAAACGCTAAATATACTTTTGATTTATATTCATATATATTCAAAACAAATCTGTGAGCTCTATATTTTATTATATCTTATAAAAGAATATTTAATTAAGTTTTTTTTTATTTATATAATATTTTATAAGTAAAAATTTATTTTTACAATATCTTATAAATAAAGGTTTATTTATGTAAAATATTCTGTAATATCTTACAAATAAAGATTTATTTATGTAAATGTTTACTCAAATAATAATATAGAGATTCAATAAAGAATATGGAGAAGTTAATATAATTTTAAGTCTAGTAGAGAGGAAACTCGGGGCATAAATGTTTTATATGATTCTCAGACTTTAGTCTTTATGCGTATGCATGAAGTTACTTACCTTTCTCTTAATGGAAATATTGTTTTTTAAGTGACTGTAATGTCAAATGACTAGATTTCAACTAACATCGATATGTAGAAAGGATGTCAAATTATATAAAAATCAAAGCAGATAATAAAAGATTATTGGGTTATGTTGATATTAATAAATAGGGTAGATATTAAAAGGCCGATCATTAATATTGATAAACCTTTTTTTGACTTTTGAAGCCATTGGATTAACAATATTGGATTTGATGATCAAGTTTTCTGTGGCGCAGCAGAGCTTTTTTACGAGTTTTGGAAAAAAACAGAAGCGATATAACAAAAATAACAATTCAAAAATAAGTGAAATAATAATGATAAAAAGTAAATAAACAGGCTTCTTATTCTTTGGCGGCTTTCAAAGTTCAAACCGTCTTGTTTTTCTTTGTTTTTTTTGGTGGTGATTTGTGTAAAAAAATCATACAAATTTTGTTAAACTTATACCAGTATATAAAATATAATTCCCCACCCAAAAAAAGTATATAAAATATAATTTAGACGTGTCACATGTGATATGCTTTAACGAGAAATAAAAATTTCTGATAGAAATATAATCATTTTCAGAATTCGTCTGACAAATATTTGATAATTCTTCATCTTACACAAAACCTACGAAATTCCTTTTTAAACAAAATTAGAAGCTTTCCATGGTTGCTTCCTCGATGTGAGGCAGAAAACGTGGCTGCTTATTTTAACAAAAAAAACAATTAAATATGTGGCTGCTTATAGCTGTTAATCACGGATCAATGGGCACCGTTTATTTAATGCAACTATTGATCATATTAATTATTTATATTTATTATTTAACTAAATGCCAAAGTGCGGCCAAAAAGATATGAAGGCTTTATCAGAGAACGTTGCACAAATGAGTAGTACAGTACATAAATGTTTTTTTCGACATCGATTCTAGATGTATATTCGCATACAACTTCCAAATACACATCTGTATTTTCTAAGATTTTAATAAATTTGTGTATGAGTATTTACATTGAATGTATGTATATTAATGTTGTTTAAAAGAGTTCTGCTTTTCAAGTCCGTGGAGAAGCTTCCTAGCTAGCTATTATTATAATTTTTCAACTTTTCTAGCGAATATTAAGTTGGCATTAAGAGTTTAGATGTATGTGTGCGATAGTCAGAGCCGTGCTTACCATGTAACAAAAAAAGCTTTTGCCTCAAGCCCCCAAAATATATAATTTTTTAGAGCTCTTATTTTCACAATAGGTGGTTTATCAGAGTGGTTGGCGTGTAATACGAAAAAAAAGAAAAATAGATTTTAGAAAATGATTAAGATTACATTGGGGAATAGGTTTAGGAAATTGATTAATATTTGTTTAGATTTTCTGCTTTTTGATATCTTAAAAGTCTTAAAGGTGAGTAAAAGTAATTTGGTAAAAAAGTTTATTGAGAAAGAAAGAAAAAAGATTATGTTTTAATTTCTTAGATTAATATTTTTTTTGAATATTTTTTTTGTTAAAATCTCTATTTTTTTGTTTACCTTAAACCCTTATAAACCTTCGCACGGCACTGCGACAGTGTGTGCATGTTAATATAACCACTTGACGTGTCCCACTTCGTGTAATTTGTAAGTTTGTAGCCTAAAGCCCCCCTGCTTTAAGAAAAGGTAAATTTAGTATTAATTAAAGATTTAAGTTGCTCGATTAAGTGTCACTTGGAACACATGATGGGGCTTTGTAAGGAATCATCACACCCCACCATCTTTGTTTGGCTTCAGAAAAATGCTAGCTTAGGAGATATCCCATTAGAGTAGTTTTTTGGATTTGAAAAATCAAATGTCTAATTTTGGTTTTTCTTCTTCCGTATTCTGAAATATAAAGTCTTTCTTTTGTGGAGTCTTCCTGATGTGTGGGTTAAAGACTAAATTAAACGCATTTGTGAACCAAAAGCTACATTATAGTTATATAATTATCCCTTTTGTTGGAGCGACTTTATTATAAAGGATTAGTTTATTATAAACCCCATTGGTTGAATTTCGTTGCTAATCAAAATTTGGTGGGCCATAATTTTGATCTTGAAAATCTTATAATGATAATATAAGCATCATTTCTGTTCAAATTGATGGACTTGATAAGGATACCTAAATGGTGCTAGACAAGAGCATCACTAGATAGACAGCTGGTAGTTCTATTTGTCAAATAATAGCACTTTTGCCGGGACATGTTGTATATAAATTGAAAGAAGGGATTAACTGAACTGTTGAACAACAAAAACAACGATTAACTGTATTATTCCCAAATTTGAGATAAATTGTAAAATTCAGGAGATTAAACATCACTATTATCAGATTGTCAAACTTTTTGGTTATTGGCTGTCAAAACTTTTGGTCTATAAACACCATTTCTTCATATTGGAAAATATGTTTAACCCATTATCAGCTTCGATTATGAAATCATTTTACCATTCCCTCTTTTGTCTGTTATAACCATAATGTTTTACTAATTTGAAAAGCATAGCCAAAGAAAATCAAACATACATTCCACCTGGATTACAGTTTCATCATTGGTGTGTTTTCACCAGCACGGCAGCACCTATATATATATATATATATATATGGGAAAGTGGGTGGGCAATAGGCACTTAAGGTTATCTCCACTAATGAAGGATTACACATGTGATTCTGAATCTATATTGTCTATTAGTTCAGGCAAATTATCATGAACCCAAAATATGATTTGTGATTTGGTCCAATTCATTACGAAAACTCGGGTATTTGATTCATTATATATATCATAGATAGAAAAAAGAATTTCGTCATATCACTACCAAATTTTTATAGGGAATCAGATTATGTTACGAATTATATCTCGATTCTGATCATTTGCCCAGAACTAATAGAATCACATGTGTAATCCTTCACTGAAAGATAACCTAAGTGCCTATGTCCACCCACTTTCTCACATGTCTAACCTTTCTCATAGCCTATTTTTTTCTTTCTTCTTCACTTGATTAGTTAGTTTCCACACCTTGCTCCGTCTATTAATCTGTCAGGGCCTAATAATAATTAAAAAAATAAACAAAAATCTCCTATAATCGTTAGATCCATCTTAATACATTACTGACCCTTGAACAGTCATCGAGATGTTTCATGGTTGAATTCAATAAATAAACATCTCGCTATGATCCGGTTAAAATAAAATTTTGGAACGCTCCTTTATTCCGATCGATCGTGTAACTATATTAACTTATCGAGTGTTACCAAAGGGACCGTTTATAGTCAATTATAACTACAATCTCCAATACGACAATCAACACATGGAGGCCACTAGCTAGAGAACCTTATGTAAGCTGCTAGTTTTCGTCCCAAAGACGACGTAGAGAGAGGGGAAAAAAAGGAAAAAAAGATTTGATGAAAACAAGAATGAGAACTCAACGACTATGTCAAGTGGTACATTAAGCTGGTCTGGTCCCCCCTCGCAAGAAAAAAACCTATGACTTATTTTTAAACTATTAGATTACATTTTAAAATTAATTTTAGGATAGGCCAATCCTTATTTTCCTAGTCATAGGATAGGCCAATCTTTGTATTTTTTAGTCATAGGATAGGCCAGTCTATATGCTTGTGTGTGTTTTTTAGTAAATGTGCATACACATTAATTATTTAAAGTCTTTGAGTTCCACCAGGAGACGAGGAAGGAACATAATACTCGATGCACAGCCCAAACATTGTTAACAAAAGTCAAAAACAAAGTTTCATTGGATCCGTAAAAGAAAAAAAGAAAAAAAAGCAGAAAGTGAATTGCATGTTGAAATCTTTTTGCTTTTATTTATTTCCAACAAGAAATATTTGTATAATGATTACAAGTAACCAAACAAGTAATAAAATAATCTACCCATACATAAGTTAATTGTATACATGACATGTATATCGCATAGGAGCGTCTGGTTAGGAATAAGCTCTCATCATTATCCAATATATATTAGAATTATATATGTTTTAATTTTCCCTATTTCATTTTAGAAAGTAGAAAAAAAAAATCCTTAGGTATAACTTACAAAATTAGGAGTATATATATTATTAATCGATCTATTACTAGATTTTAAACAAAATTTTACGTCGGCTATTTGTATCAAAGTGTTTCGATAACGTGAGCAAAGTCGAAGTTGGCCAATACTAGAATAAATGTTTTAGCAAACCCGATCGAGCGAACTCTATAGATTAAGATAGCTAGCCAAGTCGTTAACCCTTGTAAAAAAAAAAAGATAACAATCATGTTCTTCACTATCAGAGTGTATATAGTGACTGTATAGTAACACGTGTACATACGTATAGCTAAACTTGTATATAACACATATCTGTACAGAAAATTACAATTAATGAGAATACAGTTTATTTACTCGTCTTCTCTATTATTCACTAAACAGATATCTCTACTGGATTTCAAAAGGAAATCAAAGCAACTTCAACACACGTTTTAAATTAATATCATTATAAAATGTCATGTTACCATATGAATGCCTGGAAGAAATTCGACTAGGGATTTATTGTTAAGTGATTGTTGGTGCGAGAATAGATTAGAAGAAGATAGATACATATGGAAGCAACTAAGGAAATTAAGCGAATAATGCAGATAACTCGCGTGGAAAAAATAATTAAAAGGGCGACAAGATGGGACATTTCTCCAGCCCCTAACAAAGACTTTAGTTTATAAGGCTTTACACAATTATTACTTTTGTACAAAGAAAAGCCTTAATCAAATCTGAAAACCACCCAATTAGCTTTTCATTGAGTTAGTAAGATTCGCAGATCTCTGAGCTATGTATATGAGGTGTATTTATTAGAAAAGTATGTGGGTGTGTGTGTTTGACGTCAATTACGCAAACATACTCGTGAAACAAGGATTCGTCAGTTGGCACGTAATTTGTGGCGAACATGTTAACATCTGAGACTTTATTTTGGTCGTTCCTCTTTTCTTTTTTTGCCCTTAACAAACTCAACTTTTAATTGACCTAGTAGTGTTCACATTACTTATATCTGTCTTCAGATGCTTCTTTTCAAAAGCCATCTTACTTATTCAGCAATTAAACTCAACATTCGTTCAAATCTAGTTTCACAATTGTGATACATGTTTGACTCGGAATTATTGGTATAACAGTTGAATTTGTTTTAAATAACTTAACACAAAAAATGATGAGGTAATTAGTTTGAGAAAAAATCATGATATGATTAAAATAAAAGTCTCTAACGTGAGTTCTTTTATTTTATTTATATGATCGATAATATTAAAAATAAATATACAAAAATTAGTAAATTTTTGTAAACGTCGGTTCATAATTTATCCATTTTAACTGACAAGAAAATTAATTATGAAATTTGGTTGATGAGCACTGATTAATTTTTTTTAAAACATAAATAAAACAGAATTAAACTCAAAACTATATTAACTTAAGCTAAACTATGATTATTAACAAATTTTGCGTTATCATATTTTTTCCACAGTACTTGAATTAGAAAGTGTGGTGGCACATGTGAACATTTTTTTCTATATAGTCATAATTAAAGAGAGCGTTACTAGATGTAAGAAAATAGTTTTTGATAATATCCCATAAATCTCAAGTTATTTGACTTTGATTAACTTTGAGATCGTATCTGAATATAGATACGCACGATAATGCGACGGGGGGCACGTGGGCCACGCAGAAGTGAGATGAATGACGCTTTTGTTCCTTTTTTAATTTTCACATCTTGGCTTTAGATTCTCATGTTTCTTTCTCACACATTTCAAACTCTTCGCTTGAGAGTCAGATCAGATCACATCCCACATTATATGTAATTGCCTTTTTTTTTTTTCCAATATGCAAGATCAAGTTTATGATAATACTTGTTTGCATCTACCCCTTTTTGACATTACTGATTACTTTCCGTGTGTCGATAAATATTTTTTTTTGTTACACTATTAAAGCACTTTTATAACAAAATATTTTTCGATAAAATTGTATTTGGTGTGTAAATTTCTATCTCTCGCCAGGGAGGTCGTAGATAGAAGAGTACGGGGTCACATGTCCCCTACTTTTTTTATTAAATAAAATTTTAAAAACCTGATTTAGTATAATATTTAAATGAGTTTATAGAAAATTGTATCCAATTATAAAAAAATATGTATTTTTATTGAAAATGCCTCCAACAAAAAAAATTTCTGGATCCACCACTGATCTCTCATATAATTATAATTGAAATTTATCTTTCGAGTTTTCCGAACTAATTTAGCTGTCTCATGTGTAATCGGATTGTCTCTCTAGTTTTCAAACTAATTTAGCTGAAATCTATAGATTTTGTTTGTGAGTTTCTGAGCTAATTTAGTCAAAATCAGTGAGTTATGTATTTCACTGTAATAAATAATTTTCAGATAGCAAGATTAAAACAAAGTACCATTTGTCCCCAAATTTTGAATATTAGTTTTTATATATTTTCAAAAATATAGTTTACTCAGATTACCATAAAGAGAAAAAAAATTTGAAAACGAAATTTCACATTTAAAAATAAAAGACCGAAAACATTTTTCCGTAAGTTACCACCAGATCGTTTTACAGGATTTTTCAACTAAAGAAACACTTTGTGACCTTAATGATCGATCAAATAGAATATTTGTGTGTAGAAAATATTGTATAATTGGTGGTGGTTGTAAGTTTGAGAAAACCTGAAACAAAGTAAAAGACTTGATGGAAAAGAAAAACAAACAGAGATCTGTTAATTATAATCACACAAAAGAAAAAAAGTAGGTGGAAACATAAGATTTTACTCGAAGAGAACAAGTAAGAAAATTACACACACAGATGAAAAGTGTAGCCGAACTCGAAAATTTACAAAAACTGAAAATAAAATAAGGAGACAAATGAAATCAAAGTAGGTCCCATTATCCATGCCGTCTTGGTTCGTGTGTTCCTCAAACTCCCACTTTCACTGTTCTTTTTAACTTCTTTTTCTTTCCTCTCGGGATGTCCGAATAATAACTAAAGTTAAAAAAAAAACATATTCACAACTTTCACACACACACACACACACTTGCAGTCTTGTACAGTGTCTCCCATGTTACTGTACAAAGTCCAAATCTCATTTCCTTCCACACACCACAATTCTTGTCTATATATATATATATGCCCTTCACTCATCTAACCTTCTCTTATTATAAACCCTATTCTCTCCTCTCTCTCTCTCTCTCTCTAAAACATATTTAATGGAGGAGCTTGATTTTCACACAAAGACATCTACTTCTCGTCTAAAGCTATTTGGATTCAGCGTCGAAGGAGAAGAAGATTTCTCCGATCAATCTATCAAAACCAACCAATCATCCATATCGCCGGAGTCTGACGACTTTCCGGCGGGATCATCCGGAAGAAGTGACGGTGGTGGTGTAAGAAGCAGCAGAGGCGGTGGCGGAGGTGGAGAACGTAAGTACGAGTGTCAGTACTGTTGCAGGGAGTTTGGTAACTCGCAGGCTTTAGGCGGTCATCAAAACGCTCACAAGAAAGAGCGTCAGCAACTCAAACGCGCTCAGCTTCAAGCTTCACGAAACGCAGCAGCCGCTAATAATAGCTTTTCAACCGTTGGATCAGCGTCTCCGTTTTTACGGAATCCGATTGTCTCCGCCTTTGCTCCTCCGTCTCATCTCCTGTCATCCGCCGTCTCTCCGCCGTCGGGTGGTGGTGGTCCTTGGATGTATCTTCCACGTGTCTCTTCTTCTCAGCTCCACGTGTCACATGCGTGCGTGATTCAGGATGGTCCGGGTGGGTTCTCGTATGATTCTCCTGGATTCGGGATTAATGGGCCTCAGATGAGACATGTTCAAGCTCATGGGCCGAAACCATCTGTTAATGGGTTTTCAAGAGAAGTGGGACCCAGTTTCGATGATGGCTTAGGGTTGGATTTGCATCTGAGTCTTGCGCCAGCTGGTCGTTGACGTTGTTGTTTTTTATGTATGGCCCTTGCAAAGTATAGCAGGAGGTTTTAGCTCTTGTATATTGTTATCTTTCTACATTTTGATTAATTTTATTTATTTTTAGTGATGATTTTGAATTCCAGTAATTGTTTTGTATAGTAAAATATCTAGACTCCATTTCTATTTATACCTACAAAAAAGTACGTACGTCTCAAAATGATTAACCAATTCATGAATGCAAATTTCCAAAAATGTGATATATGTTGAAGTTCCCCTTGCTGGGACGATATGTAACCTTTGTTTGATTTGTAACACTGTTCTAAAATTAATGAAATTGACGAAAAAAAGCAATAAAACATTAGTTGTCAGGTATACTGTAATAGACATAGATTCTCTGATCTAACTTGAAAGTAAAAAAATAATTTACATTTATTTTAAATTAAACGTTATTATAGAACAAAATATGATTACCTACGGAATAAAAGAATTCTAGAAAAAAAATTCTTGAATGAAATATCAAAAGTACTTAACGAAATTCTAAGAACATAATTATTTTATTTTATTTTAATAGTAAAACTTATTTTATTTCATCCTACTAAATTTGCGGTATGGAAGATGGTTAAAAAAAGCAGAAGGTAATTTCATAGAATGTTTAACCAGTAAATAAAAACTTACAAAAGTATAAAGTTAAACTAATAATTCGACTATTCAGATCCATTAGATCTTAATCTATTTAAACCTTTTTATTTACCAATGTATATGCTGGCCACTAGAATTAAAGGGGGAGTATGAAAACTATATAACGAAAAAAAAAAAAAAACTTTTCAAGTTTGCTGCACAACTGAACTAAAACTTAGTCAAAAGAGCCACATTCAACCTTTTTGATGTGCGTTTGAAATTGATACGGCTCCAAAGTTTATTCTTCTTTGCACAATCTATTTTGTATTCGGTATTGATCCTATACAAGCATATATATCACTATCAATCATGTTATTATTATTGGTGTCTTTACTTTCAATTTTTTTTTAACTTCATGGTTCTCATTAAGTATTAAAAAAGGTTTCTTCATATTTAAAAAAATAGATTTTTTCAAAATATATCAAAATATTGCTAGGCATCTGTTTAACAACAATCAAAGTAAGAAGTTCTATATTTTCACAATCTATTTTGTATTCGGTATTGATCCTATACAAGCATATATATCACTATCAATCATGTTATTATTATTGGTGTCTTTACTTTCAATTTTTTTTAACTTCATGGTTCTCATTAAGTATTAAAAAAGGTTTCTTCATACTTTTTTAAAAAAATAGATTTTTTCAAAAATATTTCAAAATATTGCTAGGCCTCTGTTTAACAACAATCAAAGTAAGAAGTTATATATTTTCTAGAATATTGCAGATTCGGTGCAGGGTCTTCGTTAGTCGATTACCCATTAAACTAACACAATTTGGCTAGAATATTTAAGCTTTTTCATATCTGGGGATTGTAGGATCACTGAATCTTTTGTTCAATTATGAGCATAAAATGGGATATGATTCAGTTCCAACTTATCAAAGTCAATTCCTTTCTATTCCGAAGTTTTGTTCTCTTTGCGGAGCATACATGTACACACTAGAAACGGCTATAAAAGAGATGAAAACTTTGTGATTGTATATTATTTTTTGGTGAATAATATTCTAGATGAAAACCCTTTATGAATATTATATGCGAATCGAGTGTACATAGTACATACCATAAGTTATGTGTGTTGATATGTGCATGCATAAAACATAATCGAGCAGGAAGATACCGATTTTGTTATTGTGTGACTAGCTAGCTAGAGGTTGTTAAGTTTGTGCGACTTTAAGTAGTACCAAGCTCCCATAAGTCACATAAATTAAAGGCTATATGATATAAGCACGTATGTAATGGAGGAATCTTGCACTATGCTGACACCTAGAGAATAATAATAAAAAACCCTATATTGTTTCATATAATGTGGATGTGTATTACCAAAAGAAGAACACTTGTTTAATTACAAAATTGTCTTGGCGTAACATTTAGATTTTAGAAAATATTATAAGGCACAATAGGGAGAATCCCCGGGTACCGGGATTTGAAATCAAATTATTCTAATCTATAATATGGTATATATAAATATGTAGGCAGGTTGGCCAGCGCATTTTGTGTTTAAAACATGAAATGGAATCCTAGTCACCATGACCCAATAATATATGTGCATGACACAAAGTATCATTGTTTTTGGAATATTAATAATGCAATACGCACATATATAGTGTATTATATTTATATATATGTAGTATGTTATGGGTGATAGAATTTGGGGCAGCTGGGCAGTAAACTATAGTTGTAAAGTACTTTTGAACATTGATTGGTTAGAGACTTAGAGGATGTGATGATGGGATCTATTTGAAGTTTGGTACCAGAACATACCACGTGAGACACTATTCTCTACCAGTTGGGGAAATTGGCTCTTCCATAGTTGCTAAAGAGCTTCTCTGGCTATCACAAGACCATGTTGTATGGAATTTTAGTTGTTGTTGCGCGTAAAACACAATTTTTGGCCAAGTTTCTCATTTTCCTATAATAGAAAAGAAACAAACAACTCAGGCAAATTATTGGAAAAAAATGGCAAAAGCTTATTGTCAGCTTTCCAAAAGCCACTTGGTCCTCTCATATTGGACAGAGTCCACTAGCTCAATGTGTCTAGGTAATTTTCATGTGCAATAAATCCAAAACCCAAATAATTAAGTCTTTGGCAATGAATACTAACGTTTTATGAATCTATCGTATAATTATAGGGTACATGTATACATGTGCGTAGCTGTAAAGGTACACTTTTAGAGGAGGAAACTTTTTTTCAGAGTTCCAAAACGTGCTCTTTTGTTGCATCATGCATGTGTCCTCTTTAAGGAATCATCAAAGTCCCCATCACACCATCAATCATACAATGTATATACCCTAATCTAAAAGACACCCACTAAGTTATAAGTTATAACTCTCGAGAGTGCGTCTTAGTTTTGCTTTTGCTTTACCACTCTGACCACAAAACACTATACATTGCATAAACAATATCAAACCTCAACAGTCCCTACTGAACACAAAAATTAAAGCAAAGGAACAATGATTACAACTTTACTCTACACTTAGGCTGCAGTAGTCTAAACTTACCTAGCTAGTGACCAAAATCTCGAGTAACATGTGTAAAATATTAAGACATACACATATGTACGTAAGTATATCCTTTGGTATAGTCTTCATCAAACTTGGGTTCCGATATTATTGAAGTATTGCGTTTACTAAATAAAATGTTTGTTCGCATTAGAAACAAAACATAGCATCTGGTCATATATATTTGTTCCGTGTCAAAGTAAACATCCTCAATAGATATATGTGTGGAATTTATTCCATTTCGAAAGAGTTAAGAAATCCCTATCTTGTTGAAAGGTTCCATTTATTTGTCCTTAATTTCGTACACCCATTATTATTTTGCATAAGTTAAAGACCATATACCCACACAAACGGCCTGGCGCTCTCTTCCGATAATCCACTAACCAAAGATTTTTTTTTTCTAACCCGTGATACAAAAAAACCTTTTTTTTCTTTTGTTAAAAAACAACTTATTATTAGCATATGCATATACATAATATAGTTACTTAGCTATAATATCTCTGATTTTATTTAATTTTTTGCTTGTTTTGATGACCATTATGTGTAAAGTTATTATGTTAAGACATATATAAGGTTTAGTTTTTTTTTTGTGTGTCAACATCATATAATAAAAAAATACAACTGAAAGAGAAAAATTGTTTACCTGTTTGTTACCTTATGATTAGTTCAAAAATTTCATTGTACATTAATTGTATGTATGGATATAGATATATCATGGCAAAAATCATGAATATATTAACCCCAAACGTAAAAATAGGGTAATGTCAAAGTACTTGGAGGTTTTGGTAAATTAGGGACAAGCACTAAGAAACATGATAGGGCTTACGTGGAAAGTGATAGGACATGAGAAAGAAGAACAATCCCTAGGGTTTGGCTTTTGTTGACGTGAGATGTGGAAGGAGAAGAAAGATGCTGTGGGTGTTTGTCGAAGCCTAGTTGGTTCCCGGTAAGTCTATAACTTGTATGTCCGAAGAAAGTTCCTTTCTTTCTAAACCTTTTGTAATGTAGTTGCAATTATGATGTTGATGGAGGAATTCCATATAGGATAAGAATAAAGTACTAGATCTTGTCGGGATAATCTTTTTCACCTTTTATTCATGATTCTTGCTACTTAGGAAATTTGATTAACAGATGAGAAAGTTTCATTTACAATGTATTATATAGAAATTAACACAAATGAATCATGATATGATGTTTCCAATAAAACGCTTAACGTATTTTGTTTTTGGTAAACCAAGACATTCGGATCTATAGGCCCTTAATTAGTCATTCTAGACCCATAACAAGCAGGTCGATATTACTCTTTGAGTATTAACCCTCCATCCTAAATGAAGATAAAACCTAGGTCCCAAGGCACAAGCCGCACAACCAATATTTGTCGGTACTGAACTTCACCACTAAGATTTTAGTCACCTCCTAAACGTGAGATGACAATAATAATAACAATAGTACTGTATCCTGAATTACATGTATTTTTTAAATGAAAATAACTAAAACAACAAATTATTTCCCCGAAACTGAATTAAGTTGGTGACCTAGTTTAAAAACATTGATTGCTTGTATTTAGGCACAATCCAAGAAGAACTAGCTATGATGACTTTTTAACTCACATGGGGTGTATGTGTGTGCTCGTTTTAGTTCATTTCTTAAGTCGTTGGTCCACAAAAAGATATCATTTTGCAATTGAAGTGACCTGAGGACCCCAAAATAAAAACTACAAACAAAAGTGCACGTACGTCTTCGATACATACATTTTAATATACGATTTAATCATGTAGACACTCGAAGTGGAATAGCATACGAGGCTGCCCTACCAATTTCAGAACACAGTATACGAAGCAAAAATGTTTAATAGACATGTATAGCTCTTGTCGATCTCTCATTCGTTGCTTCATCACCTCTTCCTTTTTTTTTCCTCTATCGTTTGCATGTGGTAAAAATGGTTAACAGACATGTATAATATATATATATATATATATATATAGATGGGGACTCTATGCGAACATGCAACAATAGGAAGGCCCAATAAAATGGCTAAGAGTAAAATTGCCTATGCCCATAAACGAATTGTGAATGGAAAAAAACTCACTAGGGGGTCTCCGGCAAGCCCAATATTAAGTTCTTGAAAATCATTAAAAATACCCAAGTAGAGCCGAAAAATGAGTCTCCATCTCAATTATGATGTGGAGAAAACTATTCATACAAATGACGTAGAAAATGAAAATAATAAAAAACAGAAAATTACAAATTACAAAAGTAAATTATAACACACTCTATCAAGCAAATTGCCGCTCCTGCATCCTCATCTCATCGTAGAACTTTTCGATGAACCTCTCAGCCTTCAGGTCAATGGAATCATCTTCACTGAAGTAATCGATGGGCTGCAAAAGATCCCTTGATGGAGAAGCAACTCTAGGAACACAATGCAGAGGCTCGATCTCCATCTCCGTCTCCATCCAATTTTGTGTTCTTGTATCAACAGGACACTCATCATTGGACCGGCCGATGCACCGTGAAAGAAACAATAAACTGTAAACGTGTTTAAGACCTGATCTAGATATGCTAATTCGCTTCCTACGGTATCGAGTAAGGGATGTGCGTGAAGGCGAGAATTGATACTCTTGAAGAAACTTGTAGTTGTATTGTTGAAGGAGCTTGATCCTCTTGGCTGATCTTCTTTGTTTTCTGGGAAGCTTGAGTCTTGGGATGATTGGTCTTCTCAAGATCGAGACTTTCAGTATTTTCGAGACTCTCTGGAAAATGGGTCTTCTTCTTTGGAACATTTTGTTTTGAAGTTTAAAGGGTTTCTTAGAAGGGAGATTAATATGTTCAAGATTTTATAACAGATGAAAAGTTTGAGGTTTTAGATCAAGTAAGGAGCGCAAGCCAACCTGTCAAAAGTTATGGTCGGTTGTCCTTTTTACAACCTACTTTTTCAATTATATGTATGTATGTATGTATTAAGTAGCCGTTGGAGAGGAACATTTGCAATATAGTTTTATTATATTTTAAATAAATGGTACGTTAATAATACTTCAATGGTGAATTAATACTCACCTTTTCGTATGCTATAAGAAGTAATACCTTCTCTTTCTTTGTGCACATTCTCTCCTCTGATCCATATATATATATATATATATATATATATATAGTTATGTTGGCTATATTATATACTCAATTTGTTATATAGCTTTTTTTTACTCAAACATACTTGAGACTTAACAAAAAATCTCAAGTACAAATGTATAATCTCTCCTTCTCAAAATTGGATGCAACCAATTTGGAGTACTGCAATCAAAAATAGAATTACAAGCATTAATGGAGTTCTTTTTCTTGGTTAAAAGATCGGCACAACCATATTTGTTTCTTTAGACCGACAAATTTGACCTTTGGTTGAAGAAATTCTCATAGGTGTCTCAATAAAATTTGACAAGTGAATCCATTAGTGTTATTGAGATATTGTCCAATCGCATGAATCTTACCTTTGAATTACTCGAATAAGTATCTTTCTTCATCTCGTAACACACATCTTACTCCATATCCCTCAGCTTATTCAATCCCAAAACAAAAAAAATCAACAATACACTTTAAAATATACCTGGTGGAGGAAGAATGGAAGATTCCCATGGACACCATGAGCTCTCCGACCTTGATTTTGGCATACTTCTTCAGCTTTCGGTGATGTTCTTTCCATTCTGTTACAGCCTAACTTTATGCAGTTAAAATTACGTACAAAGCGAAAACCTACAGCCACATTCTTAGGCAATCATTTCCAAAGTCTCCTTGGTTACATTTTGGATTTTAAAACTGTATAATATTAAACTCCGTACATTTTAACTCTGTACATTCTAAAAGTGAATATAGCAATCAAGCTGGCAATCTAGCAACAGCCATTAAACTTGAAGTATAGTTTGTAAACATACAAGGAAAAAATCTTAAAAAACTTCATTTAAACATTTACGTCTTTTTAGCTATTCCGTTGACTAAATATTTTTCTAAAATAAGGTATCTGAGTGAGATTGAAATGAGGTCTTTAAGTGAAATTCCATTAAATAATTTTGTTCTTAATTACTTTTTCTAAAAATATTCCATTCAACTAAATAGATTTTAGAACTGCAAAATGATTTTTTTTTATTGAATCATGAGAGGTATGAAGATGACTGAACAAGTGGAATTTATGGTAGTGTGACATTGTGCACATGCAAACCAGTCACATACAAGACATTAGCAAATACGATTGAGAGATTTAGCTTGATAAAAAAATTATCACACTGTCCGCTTAAAATATAGGAGGCAAAGTCTACACCTATTTATTTTTAAGCTCGTTCTCAAAAAAACTTCATACTAGTGAAGTTGGACTTGACTTGTATATTATATCATTTTTGTCTAAACTTCCAATGTAGAATTTGGACTGATATCCCACACATAAATATACTCTAACATCTTTATCACTTCACAAGAATCCATATTCAAAAAGCACATATAAAACAATAACAAATATTGACAAGGCAGGAAAGAGATGAAAGGGAGAATGACTAATGGAGAGTACACAAGACAGAGATCTAAACCAACTTCTTTAGAATCGTTCACGAGGTAGACAACATTTTTGGAAATAAAGAAAGTGTTGTTCTTAACTTATAAGGAGATTTTCCTTGATGGTAATAAACTTGATAAAATTTCCTACTAATGTTTCATATTGTTGCATGTTTAAATACATAACTCAACCAATGATCTTCTCAAAAACTGTCAAAACATAAAGTTCCATACCTATTGAACAAAAGGTTTTCTTAGAAGACGATATATGTAATTTTACACTAATCTCTCCACGTAGATTTCTCCTTATTTAAATATTGATGAGTTCGAGATAAATAAAGAAGATTTGGAGAAAACATTTATTTTTAAAAGCTTGGTTATTATTTGTTAGTGTGATGTAGAACAGTTTTATACAATCACATCACACTAGACAAACAATAGATCATGACAATGGTCCTAAAAGTTCTTAAGCGGATCTAGATAGTCTTATGCAGTCAATACAATTCCTCTTTTTAAAATAATTTTAGTTATAAAAATTTATCATGCACTAGCTAATCCGAGGTTTCAATAAAATCTATATAGTTATGATAATGATCAAAATAATCCTATCTTTAGGCTCTAGTTGAGGCCAATAACAATATCAGTAACCCATCTTATCTAGCTAATCCTTAAAAACAGTGATATATCTATATGTCTATCCTTAAAACAAATGCGATGTATTAAAATTTCCTAACAAGCTAATAAAAAGGAAAGAGGACCGACCCCCTAAATAACTAACAGTTATTCAAGGATCCACGGTAAGGCCCAAAAAGAAAAAAGGAAAAACCTCGTCGCCTCTTGGAATGAGTTACGATTTCGTGAGATTGTACGGTCGGTTAAGATCTACGGCTACAATGAGAGGTCAAACAATCAGACGGTTGATAAGCAATCTCATCACTTATCTAGAAACGGTGCATTTTAGCAACTCGCTACTAATTCCCGGAAATACCCTTCAAACCACACCATAATTTCCAAAAGCCCTGAACTTCAAAACGGCCCCAAACACACTCTCTCGTATATATAACAAACTCTTTCTTCTCCGTTCTCTCTTTGCAGCATCCATAACAAAAATCGAAACCCGAGAAAGAGAGAGAGAGAGAAAGTAAAAAAATCGCCGATTAAATCCTCCGTTTTTGAGAAAATCTCTGCAAGTTTCAAACGATTCGAAAGAGGAGACTTCGCCGATCGATGGTATTGCCTGGTGAAGAAGAAGACTACATGGCGACGGAGCACGAGAGATCGAAGACTCGTCACAATTTCACGCTCCCGAAGTGGGGGATTCAGCGAGCCCTGAGGTGCGTGAAGGTCGAATCCGACGGCGAATCCGACGCCGCCGGTGATCGACGACCGTCACGACCACGACGCCGATCCTCGCCTTCCGAAATCGGCGGTGCGACTCCGGTCCGATTCGGCGGCGGTTTCGAAAATCGGAATCGATATTTGGAGACGGAGCCGTGGAGATTTCTGAAGTACGGCGTCGAGGAAGGATTCGAAGAGTACAGGGCGAGGCTCATGTCGCATCTTAGAACGACGACGGAATCGATTTTCAGGAAACAAGCTCCAGGCGATGAAGAGAAGACGAACGAGAGGGAGGAATTAGAACCGCCGGAGAAGGAGGAATTAGAACCGCCGGCGAAGGAGAGGGAGGTTTCTCCGCCGGAAGCGCCGGTAGTAGCGGTGGAGGTGAAGCCGTGGAATCTGAGGAAGAGAAGAGCAGCCTGCAAAGCTCCGATCACAGATACCGGAAATTCCGACGCAAATCAGTACAAAAACTACAAGGGATTAGAGATTCACGAGGATAAGCGAGTGAGTTCGTCGATTTCGGGAAACAAATCGGAGACGAAGCCCAGGAGATTACTCTCGACGCTATCGAAGAAAGAGATTGAAGAAGATTACATGGCGTTGGTAGGTCACCGACCACCGCGACGACCCAAGAAACGATCCAGAACCGTTCAGAAACAGATCGAGGTAAGTCGAAAATCCCCCAAATTCTCATCTTCTTTTTGATGCAATTTTTTCGAATTTTGTTCGCTCGATTTCTGATTTTGTTTTGCTTCTTGTTTCCATGGCTACAGTTGTTGTATCCAGCTTTGTATATTTCTGAAATTACCCCAGATATGTACAAGGTCTCAGACGCTGCCGAGAACGGAAAGGTATCATCTTTTCACAATCCTCTTAAATTTGATTCTTGACCCTATTTCATACTGTAATTAATCAAAACTCTTTGCTCATTGCAGAGATGATGATGATGATGATGATGGATGATGGATGATAAGTTTCAGTTGAAGTTTCACAGCCTAATTTTGCTGACTTGTGGAATGTCTTCAAAGTTGGAGTGTGATCAAATCAGAATGGTGGAAGCTCTTAGATACTGCTCAATTTTGTGTTTTTTTTTTTTTCATTACTTATTCTTTTTGTTAGTTTTGGTTTCTTATGTTGCAATGGCTGAATAAACCTGTGCAAATATATGGGTGAAGTAGGTTCTTCTGCTTCATAAGAACATAAGCCAATTATAATCAATAACAAGGTTTAACATTTCACCAAAATCTTGCCTTTTTGTGACTATCCAAGCTCATCACTAGATTTAAACCTTTTTGGTGTGTTAATGTCTTTCTTTGTAGCTTTAAACCAAATTTCTATCGGCTGCTCATTGATCCTTGTCTATGATCTATTTATTTACTGACACGAGAATGTTTTTGCGTCTAAAGAGAAGAATGTGTGTGTGTTTTGCCGTCACGATTCTTATTTTGGGTGCAATTCTATCTAATATTAGAAGCTGCTGCGTCTTTGCCAAGAGCGTGTACGGTCAATAATTCAAGCAGTGTGTGCTATACGAAAAGTGGACTCATTGTTCCGTGTGGGGAATTTTATTTTTTTTTGTTCTTTTTTCCCGCGTTTGATTGTTTTCGTGAGTCTAACTCGCTCTCTACACCGGTTCACCCTTCCCGGTCTGTTTCAGTACAGTCACTTTACTTTTAAAAGCTTCTGGTTTAATCCTTCACTTTCTCTTGGATATTTGCGATTGCATGAGTTTAAAAACAATTAGGCAAAAAAAGTATTATACTGTTTTATAATGTGCTATGAAACGATCTAATTTAAAGTAAAAAATGTGCTATGAACGATCTAAATATTGATTTTTATTTCTTTTCTCGCGTTTGATTGTTCCGTGAGCGGTGAGTCACTACCGGTTTACCTTTTCCGGTCTTGTAATATTCAGTTAAGCAAATGTTTATGATCGAGTTTAGTGACTTTACTTTTAAAAGCTTTTGGTTTAATCCTTTACTTTCTGTTGGATTTGCTATTGCATGTCTTTAAAATCGATTAAGAAGAAAAAGATTTTACTGTTTTATATAATGTTCTATGAAATGATATAATTTAGAACAAAAAAAGTACTATGAACGATCTAAAATTTTTCTTTTTATAGAAAAAACTCTTTTATCATTGCGTTTTTTGGTGGCGATAGAAAGTTCTATTCGTATCTACTATTAAATGATATTTTTAATAATTCGTACGTACTATTGATCAGATTAATTTTGCAAATGTCATTTCTTTAAAAACGTTAGATTTGAAATACAAAAAAAAAAGAATTATAACAAATATTTATATTTTCTTATTTATCTTCTCCATTACTCTCTTCATTATTCACTACCAAATTCGAGATTTGTACCTGAAATCTTACTCCATTTTACTTTCTTCTCTGTCCATTCTCGGTCTTTCTTCTACATTTCCATTTACACCCTAATTCGTGACATGAAGAAATGTATTTGGATATATAGCAAATGAGCCCCTTTCCATCTTGAGCTTCTTCTCCTTGTCGAAACGATTTTACGAGAAGTGTTATCGCACGACTATAGCGCGCACATGATTGATTTAGTGTCACTCCACTCTCTTTCCTCACAAGACTTAATATGAATACACTATAACAATGAAAATAGCACAAACTTTCGTTGTATTTGAACTTCATTTTTAACTAAGCCTTATATAGTTATATATATACATTAATCTGGGCTAGTACGTTCAGTCAAGTGACTAAAAGCGAAAGTCCATCTTTGATTTCATATCCGGGTTGGATTTGAGGATTTGATACGTTAAACATAATTTTTTAATACCGATCGATCTACGTCCCAAAGTGATTACAACTCTTGATTTTCCATTCTCTTTTACCAATTACTAATTATTATTTTACTGATTATTTTTCACTCTGATTTTACAAATAATTTGATACGAAACTTAAGGTCATATTGTATTAGCTGTTTAATTCAAGAAATATGTATATTGAAATTCAATAAAATATGTTATAGATTAAAAGAAACTTTATAATTTTATGATTGAAGTAAACTTTGCGTTTACAATATTATATAGATTTCCTTGAGACAACAGTAAACATAAACAATCTGAGTCTGTGGTGTTTCGAAAATTATAAAACAATCTGAGTCTGTGGGGATTGTGTCTTTACCGAACCCGAGTCTAACAAGTCTAGCTCTAGCCCAGCTCTATTACGACCTCAAAGTCAACCCACGACTATGCATGGACATATAGTATATATTTACTACGACGATCTATTTTCATTTTATATTTTTTTATAAAATATTTACACGTTGTAATTATAATACTCTAATCTTTAAACCCCAAAGATCCAATCAACGAAGCGTTCCTACTCTTCTGCTACGCCTAGTTCGTGAATTATTCCTGTTTTTTGGTTTTTGAAATTACAGACAAAACTCACATGCTGTCTAATCTTTCACATGTGTTGTCGATATTTCATCATTATACATACAACAAACAGTAAAAAAAAAAATACATTTTCGGTTTAATTTTTTTTTTCTTCCTCTCCGGCCACAAAAGACAAAAGATATTTTCATAATCATGTCTTCCTGTTTGTCTTACCATTACAGAGTGATCCAATGCTGAAGAATCCTCCGGCGACATTTGAGATAAACGCCGGCGGTGGGAAGTTTAGGACCGGACTGACTCGAATTCCACCGTTGCCGTTTCCAAAACTGTTTCTAGCGAGTGGTTTATAAGGGACTGAAGCTGAGAGCGAAGATGATCTTCTTAAAAGAGACGTGTGTTTGGGAAGATTGTGGTTCTTGTGAGGGTGATGAGTTTCCTTGGGAGGCAAGTTAGGTTTAGGGTTTGGAGCAGAGCCTGTGGAGTTGCTACGTGAGAGGAAATGAAGCGATCTGATTAGCCCTTTGCTGTTTCGGCTCTTGTCATAGTTGAGACTTATGCTCCTCTTTAACTGCAAGAACAATCCCTTTGGCTTATCTTCGAAATCTGATTCAGGATTCAACAAAAGCTCTTTGAGTCTCATGATCTTCTTTTCTGGTGCTGATCTCTGGTTGCAGAACGATGGGGAAGAAGAAGAAGAGGAAGAAGATGTTGATGATGAGAGAGAAGCTGATCTTTGAACCCGAAAGGTTACTTTCTTGATCTCTACGGGAAGAATCTTGCCATCGGAGAAGAGTTCATCAGCCGGGGACACTTCTTGAACAGAGCAACTCGAGCCAAAACAGAAATCGAACTCCGAACCTGAATCAAGAAGTGTTGAGTCTAACCTGACTTCATCCTCCGTTGAGTCAAGATCATATGAGAAAGAGTTTCTTGGGCTGATTCCAGAACCAGAAGCCTCTGAACAACAAACGTCAATAGCCATAACCTCTCTCTCTCTCTCTCTCTCTCTCTCTCTCTCTCTCTCTCTCTCTCCTTTCTTGTTGTATCATTCAAGAGCCAATGCCCGGGAAAGAATAAAGAGACAGTGATGATTTGAAAAGAGCGTTAAAGAATGCAGAATGAAGAAGTTTTTAAAGTCAAAGAAGATGAAAAAAAACTGGAAAATTCTTAAGTCAAAAATGGCAACTTTGGCTTTTCTTTTGTAGTTTGTCTAACGAAAAAAAGAATAGTGAAGAGACAATAGGAGATGGAGGGATTAATCAGCTGTTATCTATTGTATAGGTTTTCACAATAAAACAAAAAGAAAAAGAAGAAGACCAGCTAAAGAAAAGATAAAGGAGGAGGTAAAGAACAAAAATTAAACAGAAAAGCAATGTCGAGAATTTAATTTATTTGTCCAAAACCAATTAAAAAAAAAATACCCATTATTTTGTCCTCGTTCGTAAAATGATGCGATGCTTATAAACGTAGCTGGGCAGTTTATGCGAGATAAAATAATGTTGATGTGTTCAGCATAATCTATATAAAAAAAATTGATATATAAAACATTATATATATATATATATATATATATATTCAATCAAACTGTTAATGATGAGTTGAATTTAACCACCTTCATTTTATTTTATTTTTAACTGTTTTTTTATGTATTAGTTTACAATTCGAGGACTCAAAGTGATCGACGTTCAGTGTATTCGTGCGACTTGCAGCATAAGTGTGGGACTTATCCTTGAATATAATTAACTCAAACAACTTCCTGATGAAAATATTATAATAAAAAAAGTTTTTTTTTTAATTTTTGTAAACAAGTGTTAACTACTTTTTTCAGTAGTAGTAGAATTTCAAGAAAAAAGGTAATATACATAGTACTGTATCACCAAATGATTCCTTCCGTTTATCTTTTACCTTTTGGTTTGAAATGACATTGGATCATAGTGACTCTATTTGAATCTACATAGTACCACAATTATTAACAACCGAGGGTATTATTTGATTCTTGAACGTACTATTGATCATTGCCATATCACATATATTTTATATTTTTCACACATCACATAGATATCTGTAAAGGATAGTATATAATAATTATATCCACAAAGAAAATTTAACTACACCATAGAAAAGGAAAAATTATGATTGCCGACGGATGCTTTTCCTGATTAATTTGAAACATTGCAATTATAACTTCACTCAATGATGTGAAATATTTTGTATAGATCCAATACTTGCATCTGGTTTGTTTTATAATCATTTGTATTATACATTTTGTTTTATCATTGGTTGTATTATGTTTAAGTAAATAATGTTTTTATTTAGGAAAAAACAATCAAAATTTTTTTTGAACATCAACTATTTTGAAATGAAATAAATATTTTTATTTTGGTCGGCAGAAACTACAATACTGAAGGGTATATAATGACACATAAAAGTATTGAATTATGTGAAATATTTTGTATACTAGGTATTTAGCCCGCGACTTGCGCGGACCAAAAGGTTTTAAAAACAAAAAAAAATAAAAATTTATGCTATAAATTGAAAATAATTAAAGAAACTATTTAAAACATAAAAAATCAAAATAAAGTTAACTAAAAGAGTAAACAAATTTCAAAATTAATTACTTAAAAAATACTTTATAACTGAATAGTCCACAAACTAATTTAATTAAGATAATTTCTAGTTTTTCGTTTCCTATTTTTTCCTCTTCATTATTTTTTTCTTTCTCCTTCATATTTTTTCCTTATTCTTCTTTTGTCCATATTTTTTCTTGTTTTTTTTTTCATGTCTTATTCTTTATTTTTTTTTCTTCTTCCCATATTTCTTATTCAAATTTATCATTCACATCTTTTTTTTTTATTATTTAACACATTCGTTTTCTTCGACTTTTTTTTTACGGTTTATTCTTCTTCTCCTTATGATTTTTTTTCATATTACGTACTCTTCATACTTTTTATGACTATATCTTTTGAGGTTGAGAAAAAAGATAAATACACATTTCAAACTTAAAACCCTCCTTAAAAGTGTGTTATATTTATTGTTAGATAAGAAAACTGCATTAATTTTTGTAGCTTGCTCCTTTCGAACAATCAAAACTGTTTCGGGGTAATCAACTTTAAAAAAGAGCTTAGACATATACCAAAAAAAGAAATTCTCAAAATTTCTTAATTTTGCTAATAACAAAAATAACAAAAATTAAACAAATATCAAAATAAGACTTTAAGTAAAATGGAGTCTCCACAAAAGGGTTGTGACATTTTCACGGTCCCAAGATTTGCAGATTTTTGTATATAATTTATCATCGATTTCTTTCACATTGTTGTGCTAGAATATTTATTTGTTACCATATTAAATAATTTTAAAAATAAAGAAAATTCAAAATTAGATGGAATTGAATCCTTCCAACATACAAACTTAAGAAAACTTAGAGTTTTAGCTACTTAAACATAAATTTTACATCTTTTGTGAAACTTAAGCAAGAGAAGTTTTACTCTGATCCAAAAACAACATTTTATAATTAACAGTTCAAACTCAACTGGAAACACATGAGATGAAAGCACTCCACACGAAAAAAATTTCAGTCGGAGAACGTGCAAAAGATCAAAGTACAAATAGTTACCTTTTTTCTCCTGTCTTTGCCCATAAGTAAAATAAAGGAACCAGAAATCAATATCAAAAAATATCCCAACACTGGACATAAGAGACAAAACACACACAAAGCCCATTCAAATAAAGTGATGTTCGAATAAAAAATAGTAATTTTGTTCATGTATCATCATTATTATCAATAGAACTAACTTTGAGAATAAGAATATGCCAAGTAGACTAACATTTTTGCTGGAACTAAACTCTTTGTTAGCTTGTTTTCTTTTGTTCTCGGCAGCAACAAGTGGGGTCTTGGATAAAACACAAACTACCATGTTCTGCACCTTGTTCACCGAAACTTCTTTTGAAACTGTTATAAATTTAGGATTCATCAGATCAAGTAATAATCCATAATCAGATGATTAAACCTGTGTTTTTTTATGTGTTCTTTTAAAGTTTCATGTACCTTCTAAAAGTTCAATCAGCTTGGCAACCTTCACAAGAACCAGGTGAACTCACGTTCATTGCCATGAGGGATTTTGACACCGTATGTCCTATAGACCATTCTGAATCATCACCAAAAGCCTACACCACAAAACAGAATACATGATCTTTTTGTAATAATTTTTTAAAACATATAAAACGCTCTTATCTGACTCCGAGAACTGGTTCGGTTCATGACCATAATCTATGTCTTCATCACCAGCAAATGAAATCTGTTGCATCGCAAGATGAAACAATAAAACGCGAGCACCTAAGAAAGAAAAAACAAAAACAATCAAAACTTAAAACAGATAAGAATCAATAAATAAAAAAAAAGGCTCGACTCAGCCTAAACTAATAAAAAAGAAAGAAAAGTGCACCAAAACTGACTAATATATAAAACATAAATATGATAGATAATAAAAAAGTTACAAATCTAAACCTAAAGCACAAAAAAGAAAATAAATTGTTACCCTTCGGTATAGCAGTAAACTAAACAATCAACGATCAAAAAAGTCCGGCTAAAACACCACTTCCTAAACAGAAAAAAAAACATCAAACGCTATTACTAATAAGAAGAATTTATAAAATATAAATATAATCCAACTTCTAATATACATCAGAATAAAATATATTCCTGAAAGAGCTATAAAAAGGAAGACACAAGGAATGACCTAATATATATAAAACAAAATTAACAACCGAATAGAAAATTAGAAAGCACAAAAACTATTTTTTTAAGAAGTCACAAGATCACTAATGTGAAACACACGAAATATATAGTTTACATGATCACCAAACATTACAACCGTGTAAGTGAAGAAAAAAAATTGGTTGAAAAATCTTTAAAATTTATGCAAATCGGATAATTCATATATTTTTTTATTAAAAAACAATATCTAAGTATTTATCAAGACTTACTTAAAGATTAAGTGAGTAACATAACTATATATGATGATTTTTCATTTTTTAATGTTTTTTTATAATTCATATAAATATTTGTTTTTAAAAAAGAAAACAATATCTAAGTATCTATTAAGTTAGATTTACTTAAAGATTTATGGAGTAACATAATTATATATGATAATTTTCGATTTTTAATATTTTTTTATAAAAATTAATTTAAATTTGTTTTTAAAAAGAAAATAATATCTAAGTATCTATTAAGTTAGATTTACTTAAAGATTTATGGAGTAACATAATTATATATGATAATTTTCGATTTTTAATAATTTTTTATAAAAATTAATTTAAATAAAATTAATTTTGTTTTTTATTAAAAAATCGTGATTTTAGTTGTAAAATCATGTATTTTGATTTGATTTAATATTATTACAATCTATATTATAATCGTGATTTTAGTTGTAAACAATTTTTTGTTTGTTTTTAAATTAAAAATAATTTTAAGGAGGGGTAAAGGGTAATTAGCCACTCTGAGATTCAATGAGAAAGTTTGAAAAGAAATTTTTACTTCGCTTATAATATATATATATGATATAAAGGTATAGAAGTATTTAATTATAAAGAATCGTTGGATCAATAATACTTTGCATCTATGTATAAATAAATAAATATTACTTATTGCTGCGACACCATTAAAGATAATTAATGAAGACGCAGGAGATGTTTTCTGTTAAATTATTTGAAGTCATTTGCTCTAATAATGTGAAAGAGAAGATGAACATCGATCACGTATTCATGTCTATAGATTAGATATTAATCGCTAGCTTTTTTATTATATAAATGCGACTAAGGAGCATGTGTTTTGAGTTTGATCGGATCTATAGCAGAAAGATTTGAGGACATCGTACGAGATCTAAAGAAGCATGCATGCATCTTCGGTTTTGTTTTGTTTTTTTTAATTTTAAATTGATGGAGGTTTTGAATGGTTATCATGGCAGTGTTCGTGCCTCATGTGTGTACGATTGCATGCATTACGCAAATAAAATAATTGAGAGGGCAATTTATCCGTGAAAAATCTTTTCAATGGGAGGAAATTAAAACCACTTAACTATAGTGCACTCAAAATAACAAATATGTTTGGGTTACAACGAAGTTCATTTTTTGTTTGGGTTACAACAAAGTCTGTGAACATATTCACAGACTCAAACTCTAAAGAGGAT